TAAAGGGAGTAGTTAGACTCCCAGGGGAAGTTATCTACAATCCAAAAGATAGGGACTCATGATCACTCAGGCTTCTAGGAGAAAGGCTGAGATGGGGAGGGTAACTGACCCCTTCCCCAGGCATTGGTTTCTTACTATAACATAATTTCATTTCACAACCAGGTCTGATTTTGCCATCACAGTAATAATGTCACATGTGAACAACCATGAAAATTCTGACATTTTTAAAAAATTTGAATCCTATTATCTGAACTCAACTTTTTCTTTTTAAAAAATGTAATTTGGGACCCTCACACTCAAGACTATAGCAAAGGTTTACTCCCTGTCTGCTGCCCTGGTGAACCATCTTCTCCCTGTTCATTCCTTCCACTATTCAAGTAGTAATACTGTTTTGCCATTATACATAAAGCAAACCCAGAAACTTCCAGAACTGCATTATTGACCACAAAATTTAAATTTCTTAATACAGAAGACAACAGTCTCCAAAATGCGCTTTCCTACCTCAGAATTATTTTTTATCACTATTCTGTTTGGAATCTATTCATTTATTCAAAGGTCAGCTTAACAGCATTTAGTTGTCTTTATAACTCTATACACATTTATTCACCAAAAGCAGAATAAACTGCTGTCTTCAACCTACTTGGCATACTCCTATTAGTTCATCCTATTAATCTCAAAAGATACAGTGCTTTGAGGGCAAGAACCTGATCCACACCTTTTACTTTTCAGGGTACATGACACAATAACCCAAGACCCTAAATACATATTTGTTGTCAGTTTGGGTCTATGCCACATTGGGTCTATGTGTTTAATCACTCTGTCAATGAGAATTACTATTTACCATCTCACTCTGACTTCCTTAAGGTTCATGTTATGCAGCATCTATGGAAGCATAGATGAAGTAACCTTGTTTCTTTAAAAAAGAAAATATCTAACTTAAAGGTAATCAAACTTCTAGACCTAAGCTCCAGTCTACCGAAACTTCTGTTTGAAAAAAGAAAATTAAATGACATTATAAGGGAAAAGTCAGACAGTCCAAAATGTGAGACACTCTAAAACAAAAGTGTCTTGGACTGTTAAAAATTTTTTTCGTGGAAATGTGTAGCATACACACAGCCACTCTAGAAAACATTTTAAAAACCTACACATGCAACCATACAACCCATCAATTACACTCCTGGGTATTTATCTCAGAGAAATGAAAACTAATATCACACAAAAATCTATACACAAACACTTATAAGTTTTGTTTGTAATAGCCCAAACCAGAATCAGCTTAGATGTCCTCTCACAGGTAAATAGTGCAGTACAAAATACCTTGTAATACTGGTCAGCAATGAACCATTGATACACACACTGGGATGAAATTGACAGGGAATTATGCAGGGCAGAAAAAAAAGGTAATCCCAAAAGATAATATACTGTATGATTAAATTGATAATATTATTGAAATGACAAAATTTTCAAAACAGAAGACAGATTAATGGTTGCCAGGGGTTAGAGTCAGGGGTACAAGGGTACACTGCAGAAGTGAGATGGGCATGGTTAAAAATGATAACATGAAGGAATTCGTGGAATTGTTCTATATTTTGGCTGTGATGACCAATACACAGATTTACACAAAAGATACAACTGTATAGAAATTAAAACTCAGAAAATCCAAATAAGATGGGTGGGTGATCCATTTCAACATCCTGGCTGTGACATTAATACTACAGTTTCACAAAGTGTTATTGGGAGACACTGACAAAGTATACAAAGGATCTCACTATATTATTATTTTTTTTATAATCAATTGATTCTGTTCGTCTCCTTGAAAATTCTCATTTAAAAATGTTTTGGAGGGGGCTGGAGTTGTGGCTCAGCAGTGGAGTGCTCACCTAGCATGTGTGAGGCACAGGGTTCAATCCTCAGCTCCACATATAAATAAATAAAATAAAGGTATTGTGTCCATCAACAACTGAAAAAATATTTTTAGAAAATGTTGTGGAGGGGGAAAAAAGGTAAGGAAAACAATTTAAACTAAGAGATAAGGGAGACAAAACCAAAAATAAATGTGTACACCTTGACTACATCTTCAGAAACAAATGGGAAAATCTGAGAATGGACTGGATATTAGATATTATAGAATTATTGTTTTCCAACTGTTTTAATAGCACTGTACTTACACAAACAAGTGTCCTTATTTTTAGAGCCACATGCTGAAATGCCATGATTTTAGCAATTTATTTTCAGGACTTTGAAACAAAAAAAAAGAACATACAAAGAAAAGACAAATGATGCAAATGTTAACAATGATTAAATCTAGGTTGATCTATATTAGTTACCGTTATACTGTCTCTCAACATTCTGTTTTGATCAATTTCAAATAAAAAGCCCTCAGGGTTTACCTAGCTGTGGCTTTTTCTGGGGGCCCCATCTCCACCGGTGGAAATCCCATATATCCTATAAACTTCTTGCTCACAGCATCCTATTAATCTGACCCACAATTCCCTCCTAGGTTCTTCTATTCCTATGCCTACCTATGGCTAACTACATTACATGAGCCTCTAGAAGGCTACCACTGTTTTTGTTTGTTTGTTTGTTTGTTTTTTGTCTTCCCACAAACCTAAACCTCATCCTTAGAGAATCTAATTCAAATATGTCTGATATTCTCATCTATAGTCATAGTGATCTGCCTTGATCACAGTGAGATTATTCCCTAAATCCTGGGGCATTCATTTGCAATAAAATTTCTTTCCTGCTTCCCAATCATCATAGTCAAAGGAATCTTTAACAGACACTTAGGTTTTCCCTGATGAAGGATTTGTTCAAGAGCACCAGTGGTTCTAGGATTTTGTACCTGCCTGGGGTCATCAGGAGATTTGAAGTCCAGGTCATATTTCCCAGACCTGAAAGAATTCTAAGACAACCATACTCATGCCAGCTTTCCCAGTTGCATTCCATAGCAGCTCCAGGCTTCTTTATTCTCTAGGACTTTAGGAGCAAATTTAGCAGCTCAGACAACACATTTGCTATCTTATAGTTCTGAGTATCAAGTCTGATGTGGGGTATCATAGGGCCAAAATCAAGAGCTGCATTCCTTTCTGGAGGCTCTAAGAAAAGATGTTTCTTTGTTCATCTGGGATGTTGGCAGAATTCAGTTTCTTGCAGGTTTGGGACCAAGATCTCTGTTTCCTTGCTGACTGTTGGCCAAAGGTTTTTCTCTATTCCTCTGAGGACACTCACATTCCTTCTCTCACAGACCTCTCCTGCATCTTCAAATCAGCAACATCACAACTAGCATCTCTCTCTCTCTCTCTTTGACCAAGACATGAAGGTTCTCTGCTTTTAAGACTCATAAGATTATACCAGGTCATCTGGATAATACAGAATACTCTCCCATTTCAAGGCTCATTACCTTAATCTCGTCTACAAAATCTCTCTTGCTGTATAAGGTAATATATTCACAGATTCCAGGGATTAAGACATAGACATCTTTAGTGGCCACTGTTCAACCTATCCCAATCCTCCAGTAGCAGAGCCCCCATATTTCTCCTTGGTGACAGACTTCAGGTATGATAAGCCTCAGCAATAATGAGCATGGCTTCCCTGCAGTTTGCTGACAGGGAAGATCATGAACCCCTATACTGCCCACCTTGTTCAGCATGAAAATCATGCAGACAGCAGGGAAAGCTGGAATTGGCAGAATGACTTCCGAGTTGCCAGGATTCACAGTTCTGTGACAGCAGGGCAAACAGCTGTTTAGCAGCTCCAGCCTTACCAACAGCAAAAGACATTTCTACATGGTGCTGCCATCAGAATCAGACCGCTTCTCAGGGCCATCTGTCTCCGTTATCAATTTATCAGTCCTCTTCTATTCCACAACCTTTATTGCTTGCTAATCAGTTCAGGCACAATAGTTTTATGGATGTGCTGAACAGCCTTTAAGTCACCTCTTCACCCAGCAAATTTTATCATTGTCTTGAGCTGTTGAATCTCACAAATGCCAGGTGAGGCCACTGGATACAGCCCTGAAGATACCTTTTTCAGTGCAGGATCCACCTCAAGAGTAGGATTTCCTAGAAAGCCAAAGATCTCTCCAGCAAAGTGTTTGCGAATAGGGATGGTGAATTTCTATCCATATTTCTTGTTACTCAAAACAAGAAACAAGAAAGGATACTGCAGCGGTCAATCAGAAGTGTTAGCTCAACAAGCTCACAGGCCTCCTGAGCATCTGACTGGCTCAGCTTCTCTTTTGCTATGTATGTTTTTGTTTTTTTTTTTAAATATTTTTTTAGGTGTCAATGAACATTTATTTTATTTATTATATGTGGTGCTGGGAATTGAACCTAGGGCCTCACACGTGCTAGGCAAGTGCTCTGCCACTGAGCCACAACCCTAGCCCTGCTATGTTTGTTTTTTAAAGTTCCCTAACCAGATATGGAAATCACTGGTACAAATTTCAAAGGAAAATTAACATTTTAGGTTATAAAATTTTCAAACAAAAAGATATACTTCCATTTTATTAGCCATAAGAAAAGCATCTTTCAGGCTAAATTACATCATATTATAATTATTTCATGACACACAACCACTAAGCCAGATTCAAAGAAGACAAGTTTCATATTTCAATTTGTTCAATAAGGAGACATCAAAAATAAATAATGAAGGCCTTTTTTTCCCTTCTAGCCTATTCCCTAAATTTAACACCAAAGTCATGGGTTTTCCAGAATTAGTGCTTTTTCAGATAATGCTTATGAAAATAACTAATTTGAAAGAATAAAAAATAAACTCTTTTACCTGCTGGTTTCTGGCTCATTATCTCCTTTGTCATTAAGATGATAATACTATAGAAATTAATGTTTAAGTATAAATTGAGGTACAAACTTAACATTTTCCATAATTTTGAGAAAATTTCCAGTATTATATAACAAAAAACAACTAAAAATACACATATAAAATACACTTATAAAAATACACTTAAAAACAAAAATGGAAAAAATACTGCATCATTATTCCTTTGAACATGAGTTGGTATTATGAAGAGGCCTTGATTTCTGTATCAGGATATTCATCCACATCAGAGAAGAACATTAACTCTGGAGAAGAAAATGGAGAGATCATATTTAAAAGTGGTTTCCCAGTATCTCACAAAGATTTACAAAGCTTAGTTATAAACATACTCTTAAAATATTGCCATAATACATAGTAACACAAACCCTCAAGTACAAGTAAGAATTCTTGACAGTGAAATCTGATTTAAAAAGTGAGCTAATAATAAACTTACAAATTTTACTTTTTTTTTCTTTTTTTTTAGTTGTTGATAGACCTTTATTTTATTTATTTTTAAAGAATCAAACCCAGTGCCTCACACATGCCAGGCAAGTGTGCTACTGCTGAGCCATAGCCACAGCCCCACATTTTACATTTTTAAATGTTTAAGTTTTAAATTTATCATAAAGCCTGAAATAAAACTATATAATATAATAGAAAATATATTAAGTCTTAACAGGAAATTTAATTCACTAGACAAGGATCATTGTACAGATAAAAAGTCTAATTTTATAGTGATCATATAATCTAAAGTGTAAGGAACATATATGAAGGAAGGACTTGGAACTAATATTAGGTGTGTAGTAGGGTATGTTGAATGTGTTATTCCATTGGATCACCAAAACAATCCAATAAACTAGGCATTGTCCTCATTCTATATTTATTCTCTATTTAGAATATATGTTATATGACTCACATGGCCCTAAAAAAGAGCAGGTTTCTAGATATATTTACTGTACAATACATACTTTATGATTTAGACTGAATATTGCACAAGCCAGCCAGATGTATCTTTAGTCCCAACCACAGCATAGGATGGTATCAGTTGACATTTTTTATAATTAAACTATTACTTAGCATAGATAATGTAATTCATCAAAATGCCAAGAAATATAAAAAAGAAAACTGTGAGAATCTAGTAAAATAGATTCCTCTGATGTAAGTAACTAGATGAAAAATTCTTTGAATAATCAAAACTATACTGAGAGAAAAACAACAAAATATATAGAGCAGAAGACTTTTAAAAAATATTTTAAGTACATCAAAATGAATAAAGCAACAGGATATTTACTGGAGCAACTTGAGAATTGCAACGCAAAAGGTACACTTATGAATGAAAATACATAAGAAGATAATAGTCTTTGTCCTGGCTTTTATAAATAAAAATGATGGGAAGATTCTCCATTCTCACACTTCTGGGACAAACAAATTGTATTAATCAATCAAATAAAAAATAATAACCAAATTCCATAAAATATCCACAAGAAAGATTTAAGGGTAGAAATGTAGAACACCTGTCAAGGAAGTGCAATGTGCACTACTAAGCAGTTCCTAATACATGCTGCTAGGCTAGCAGTCTGCTAGCACTCTTCTTGTCAGGTGTTCAAAAAGGGCCTGGCTGTAAAGATTAGTAAATCTCACTAGACACTGGGCATGTTAAAGGTAAGATAACTAAATACTATGTTAGACCATGAAGGGTTAAGGATTTGTGCCAACAGCAAAGAAAACAATCAAGATTGCAAAGAGAGAGCCTACTGAATGGGAGAAAATCTTTGCCACCTGCACCTTAGATAGAACATTAATCTCCAGGATATATAATGAACTCAAAAAACTTAACAACTAAAAAACAAATAACTCAATCAATAAATGGGCAAAAGAACTGAGCAGACACTTCACAGAAGAAATAAAAATGGTCAACAAATATATGAAAAAAATGTTCAACATCTCTAATAATTAGAGAAATGCAAATTAAAACTACACTGAGATTCTATCTCTAGTCAGAATGGCGATTATCAAGAATATAAGTAACAATAAATGTTGGTGAAGATGCAGGGGAAAAGGTACACTCATACATTGCTAGTGGGGCTACAAATTGGTGCAACCAGTCTGGAAAGCAATATGGAGATTGCTCAGAAAACTTGGAATGCAACCACCATTTGACCCAGTTATCCCACTTCTCAGTATATACCCAAAGGACTTAAAATCAGCATAGTACAGTGGTGCAGCCACATTAATGTTTAAAGCAGCCCAATTCATAATAGCTAAGCTATGAAACCAACCAAGGTGCCCTTCAATAGATGAATGGATGAAGAAAGGGTAGAGCACTGGCCTAGCATGTGAGAGGCACTGGGATCAATTCTCAGGACCACATATAAATAAATGAACAAAATAACTAAAAACAGGTTTTTTTTAAGTTTCTTTAAAAAATGTGATATATATACACAATGGAATATTACTCAGCCATAAAAAGAATGACTTTATGACTTTTGCTGGTAAATGGAGGGATCTGAAGACTATCAATGCTCATTGAAATACACCACATATATGTGACAATACAGTGTATTTTGACATATTATACAAATATGGAGTATGACTTATTCTAATTTCTAATTAATTATTTAGATTATGTTACATATATCTAAAAAGAACAAATTTTTTAAAGAGGAAATATCCACAAGCAAATGTTCCAAAAAGTCTGAGTAGAGTCTGTGAGCTACATTATGACTGTGTCCCACTTTCCCAAACATCACTTCTGCTCCCCTTATACAAAGAAGTCAAAAGGCAAGCCTAGTTTCAAGGAAAATGTAATTACACCCCATCTTTCAATGAGAAGAGTAGCAGTCTTTATAGTCATCTCTAACTTACCACATAAAATAAATAAATATACTAAAAAAATTTAAAGAATTTTTGCCAAGTAGAGGAAGTGATAAGAATAATTTATTTGAATATGTATCTGACAGAGACAATATGGATAAAGCACAATTTATTTTAAGTTTAGAAATACTTTCATCAGAAAGATACTAAGAATAGCAAAGAACAAAGAATTTCTATAAATTACTTGAAGATTCCAAGAGGAGAAATACCTTTTGATTATGCAAAAGTTCAGCAGATGCCCCCCATTCATTTCCACCCTCCCGCTCTCTAGGTCCTTCTCCATGCTTCTCCTGTCACTCTGTTAGACCACTTTATTTTTACTCTTTTTGAACTATTTTATTTTGAATATATCTTTGTTTTAAAATATTATAAGATTTATGAAATAATTAGAGAAGATTTCAGGATATTTTGTATCATTTTCTCTTGAATACCTTCACTAAGATCCATGCCTGGCCTATAAGACAAAAAAAGCCAAGATAATCCAACAAGAAGAGCCACCACCAGATTCACCACAATCCATGGCTGGAGAATCTGTTCCTCAATTCCTGCTGCCCTGGAGATATAGAAACACTCATTAGAAACATCTTTATTTTGGTTTATATACCCAAATGCGGTTATTTTACGAATTTGGGGTGGGGGAAGCAGTAAAATAACAAAACATGAAATAAAATATAACTTCCCTATAAAGTACACTATATACATCAGGAGAATAAGGTTCAAAGGTTATTCAAACTGTAAATAGATCTGCTGTTAACATTAACATAAATGGAAAGTTAGTGTTCCCAAAATGTTTCCTAAAAGTTTCCCTTCCAACTACCATGACCTTTTTCTTCAATTTAGTATCTTTCCCATTCCCAAGCCACTCTCCCAAGGACTGTCCCTCTGAGTTTAAACTCGAACCTCAGGGTCCTGTCAGCTATATGTTTGGCCACTAATCTGCAAACGTTGGCTCTCCCTACTCTTCTCTTTCTAGCATGCTTGGTTTTCTGAATCTATTCCAACCACTCTCTTCCATCCAGTCCATCACATGATGACTTATTTTAAAGATCTAATTTTTAAAAAAATTTTTTTAGTTGTAGATGGACACAATATCTTTATTTGATTTATTTTTATTTGGTACTGAGAATCAAACCCAGTGCCTCACACATGCTAGGCAAGCACTCTACCACTGAGCCACCACCCCAGCCCCCTAAATATACTTTTGAAAAGAAGACATTTTATTTAAAATGGAGGCATTTATAACAATAGCTATCAATTAACCAAAGGAATAGGGATTTCCTTTCCTTATTTTTGGAAATCAAAACAGGGTCTTAATATTATTTATAAATGAAAACAAAAAGAATGGAAGGGCCAGGCACAGTAGCATACATTTGTAATCCCATTGGCTTGGGGAGGCTGAGACAGAAGAATGGCGAGTTCAAAGCCAGCCTCAGCAACTCAAGGAGGCTCTAAGCAACTCAGCAAGACCCTGTCTCTAAATAAAATACAAAAAAGGGCTGAGGATATGGCTCCATGGTTAAGTTCCCTGGGTTCAATTCCTGGAACCAAAAAAAGCATAGAAGGAAAAATTCCATTATTTCCACTATTGCTGTTATTACCATTAACATGTTACTATAAATTCTTACCAGAGGCTACCATTAACAGAAGAAGGCGTATAAAGGTGGATTCTGTCACTTGTCATTTGCTGACTCAGAGATAGTATAAGAGCAGTCAAGTACACTGAGAAAAAGACAGATAAAATTGCTAATGATTTTTAACGACTCAAGTTTATTTTGACCTATATATTTCTTTAAGGTCAAAAATACTATATACTTTAGTGAGTGATGGTATCAAAGACATTCACTTGATCAATTTCAATAGAGAGCCTTATAGTATTTTTCAAGAACACAATACAGTCCTTTAGATGCTATTTTATCATTAAAACTAATAAGAACCTAGAAGATCTTTTAAGAAATTAAATGAACTTTCTCAAGGTTCCAAAACTAGCTCTATTAATATTCTCATAATCTAGAATAAAATGTATTCTAAATTACCAGAAAGATACCAAATGGTGCTTGCTACCAAAAGGTTGATTCTGTTTAATGTAAAGTTGAAAATAAAAAAAAAAAAACTAAAAGTTTTTAAAAATACTAAAAATTCTAAATATAGAACACAAGTTAAACTTTTATTTATTTGTTTCTTTTTAGTGCTAGGGATTGAACCCAGGTCCTCATGTACAAATGAAACCTTTACAAGATATTTAGATGAACCTCTAGTGAAAAATAACATCAAAATTATATCTACCGTGTTTTTAATTACAAATTCACTAAACATCTATAGGTAGTGATTTCTAAGTAATAATATAAACTTTTTTAAAAATAAGATTATATTTTTCCTGGGTCAAAATTACAATATAATTCAAGTATTACATAGTTATAAAATACTCACAGAAAGACGCTAAAGCTGTTGGATCCAGGGCAAAAAAATTTCGGATTGCTACTGATGTTTTAGCAAAGTCAATTCTAGAAAATACAAAAGCTTTCATCACAGTGCAATTGTAAACTTTTAATAAAATTTACTTTTATATATTTTTTCCTTTTTTATTCTATTACCAAATATATTGTTTAGTACTAGGCTTTACATATCTATAATTTATACTTACACAAGAATATTTTCTTTACAAAGGCCACACAAAATACCTAACTAGAAGGCTATCTTAGGAAACATTATTCTGCAGTTTAGACATACTGAAGAAACAAATTATACTTGATCTGTAAAATTCATTAGCTTCTTCCTTTTTCTATTACCCATATCATTAGGTTACAAAGAGGGGTATATGTGCATTTAATGGATTATATTGCATTCCCTCCAAAAATATGGTGAACTCCTAACTTCTGGTACTTATAAACATGACCTTATTTGGAAATAGGGTCTTTGCAGATGTAATAATGTTAAAATAAGTCACCCTGATTCAAAGACTGGCTTAAAAATGGTAAAGAAATACTAATATTCTATAATTCTATTTTTAAAACTGACATACTCAGAGACACATTTCTTTCAGCATTTTCTCTTGAATAAAAGTTAGAGGAATATTTAGTCACAATATCTTACCTGTCAAAAGCTGAAACTGTACTTAAAGCCAAAAGTAAGTAAAGGAGACTCTGGAATGGATATGCTAAGGTCTTATATTGTTGCAAAAGGTTGGAGAGGTCAGACAGCTGATCTCCAGCTAGAACATATATCACGACAATATTCCATACAGCACAGCCAGCCAAGAAGCCATGAGAAAACAGACCAATCATCCTGCATGAAAAAGGGTTAACTATTATACACAAACTACTTAAGTAAAAGGCTGAAATATTTTTAAATTTTTTCACATAAAAGAATAAAATTCGACATATTATCAAAACTAAAAACAAGACTGTGTGTGTATGTGTATGCAAGCATGTGTGTGCATGCGCTCAGTAATTGAAGCCAGGGCCTCATGCATTCTAGGCAAGTGCTATACTACAGAGCTACATCTCCAGCCCCAAGCCTGTTCTTTTTCTTTACACTAATTGGCAAGTAGTGTAACTTTATTGGAAGGCTTAAAAAATAATTTTTATAACCCATTTTAAATTGCAATTACATTAACAGAATTAAACAGCTAAGACTTTTCTTTCATTTTAAATTATGAAACCCAGTTAATATTTATCTTAAGTTCAATAAAAGCAGCCACCTAAAAGCTCGGTGTACTGAAAGTGCCACATCTCTGGTGGTCCAGGAAGGCTTCATGTCCATTGACACATCTATGTTTTCTGTGGTCTTGATCAATTCTGAACGATCAGCAGCCTGGAATCGCCCTAAACACACAGAATACAATTATGAAAAACTAGCAAGAGAGAATCTATTATTTCATACTTAAGAAGCTTCATCCTAAGACTGAAATGTTGCTGTTTTTCCATATAAAAATCTCTTTGACTCATACCTTTTTTCTTTTTTTTTTTCTTTGTGTGTGTGTGGGGTGTTACTTCATCATACAATTTCTTCATCTTTTTAAAAGATAAGCAACGTCAATGCACTTCTCAACAAATTGATGTTAAAGTAACAATTTTAGGAATCAATTATATTTAATAATAAACTTTCAACTCAAAGTCTAAAAACCTTAACATGACATAGTCTATAAAATTCAGATTTAGAGATTTAAGAAGTATTAAAGTTTAAATGCCTATACTATCAACGTTAAGCCAATATTTGAAAACCAATTAATTTCTTAGGAAAAGACACCAAGATGTATAGCATGGCTTTCTGTAATGACAAAAAGAAATTAATTGTTTCATAAATCTATCTTAAGATTATCCAGAGCATATCCATAGGAGTAGGACATGGTCATGATCACACTTGGGGCAGGATTTCTTAAACATTGTAATATGAAGTGAATATGTCCCACAAAATTCATAGGCTTGAGCTCAACCCCAGTGTGCTAGTATTTGGAAGAGGTACCATGGGAAGTAATCAGGCTTACATGAGGTCACAAGGGTGGGTCCCATGTTGGGATTAGTGTCCTTTTAAGTAGAGGAAGAGACCAGAGCTCTCTCCACCATATAAAATGACATCTGCAAGCCAGGAAAAGAGCCATCACCAAAAATAGAATCTGCCAGCACCTGTCTTGGACTTCCCAGTTTCCAGAACCATAAGAAATAAGTGTCTGTTGTTATTGCAGCAGCCAAAGTTAAAATTAACTGCAAGCCCAGTCTTTTTGTTGTTGTTGTTGTTCTAATTAGTTATGCATGAGAGTAGAATGCATTTTGATACATCATAAATAAGTGATGTGTAATTTCTCATTTGTCCGGTTATATATGATGTAGAGTTACAAAGGTCATGTAATCATATCTGCACATAGGGTACTAATGTCTGATTCATTCTTCTATCATTCCTACCCCTATGACCTTTCCCCTCCCTTCCTTCCCTCCCTTCACTCCCCTTTCTAGTCCAAAATACCTCTACTCCCCCCTTATTGTGAATTAGCATCCATATATCAGATAAAAATATTTGGCCTTTGGTTCTTTGAGATTGGCTTATTTTGCTTAGCATAATATTCTCTAGTTTCACCCATTTACTGGAAAATGCCATAATTTCATTCTTCTTTAAGACTGAGTAATATTCCATTGTATATATATAAACCACAGTTTCTTTATCCATTCATCTGTTGAAGGGCACCAAAATTGGTTCCATAGTTTAGCTATTGTGAATTGAGCGGCTATAAACATGATATGGCTGTGTCACTGTGGTATGCTGATTTTAAGTCCTTTGGGTATAAACTAGAAGTGGGATGACTGGATCAAATGGTGTTTCCATTCCAATTTTCTGAGGAATCTCCATATTGCTTTCCAGAGTGGTTGCACCAATTTGTAGTCCCATCAGCAATGATTGAGTGTGCCCTTTTTTCCCCCATCCTCACCAACATTTATTGTTGCTTATATTCTTGATAATTGCCATTTTGACTAGAGTGAGATAGAATCTCAGTGTAGTTTTGATTTGCATTTCTCTAATTGCTAGAGATGTTGAACATTTTTTCATATATTTGTTGACCATTTGTATTTATTATTCTGTGAAGTGTCTGCTCAGTTCCTTTGCCCATTTATTTATTGATTGGGTTATTTGTTTTTTAGGTGTTAAGTTTTTTGAGTTCTTTATATATCCTAGAGATTAATGTTCTATCTGAGGTGTGTGTGGTAAAGATTTTTTTCCATTCTGTAGGCTCTTTCTTCATATTACTGTTTCCTTTGCTGTGAAGACGCTTTTCAGTTCAATTCTTGCACTTTAAAAGTCTTGTTAAGGAAATCAGTTCCTAAGCCAACACAGTATAGATTTGGGCTTACTTTTACTTCCAGTAGGCACAGGGTCTTTAGTCTAATGCCTAGGCCCTTCATCCACTTTGAGTTTTATGCATGGTGAGAGATAGGGGTTTAATTTCATTTTGCTACATATGTATTTCCAGTTTTCCCAGCACCATTTGTTGAAGAGGCTATCTTTTCTCCAATGTATGTTTTTGGCACCTTTCTCTAGTATGAGATAACTGTATTTATGTGGATTTGTCTCTGTGTCTTCTATTCCGTACCATTGGTCTTCTTGCCTGTTTTGGTGAATACTATGCCATTTTTGTTACTATATCTATGTAGTATAAGCGAGCATCTGGAATTGTGATGCCTCCTGCTTCACTTTTCTTGCTAAGGATTGCTTTGGCTATTCTGGGCCTCTTATTTTTCCAGATAACTTTCATGATTGCTTTTTCTATTTCTATGAAGAATGTCATTAGAAACTTAACAGGAATTGAATGAAATCTGTATAACACTTTTGGTAGTATGGTCATTTTGATGTTAATTCTGCCTATCCTAGAACACGGAAGATGTTTCCATCTTCTAAGGTCTTCTTTAATCTCTCTCTTTAGTGTTCTGTAGTTTTCATTGTAGAGGTCTTTTACTTCTTTTGTTAGATTGAGTCCCCATTTTTTTTTTTTTGAGGCTATTGTGAATTAATTAGAAATTAATTAGAAATTAGGAATTAGTTTTCCTAATTTCTCTTTCAGTGGATTCATCACTGATGTAGAGGAACACATTTGATTTATAGGTGTAATTTTTTTATCCTACTACTTTGCTAAATTCATTTATTAGTTCTAGAATGTTTCTGATGGAATTTTTTGGATCTTCTAAATATAGAATCATGTCATCAGCAAATAGTGATTGTTTTGAGTTCCTCTTTTCATATCTGTATCCCTTTAATTTCTTTCTTCTAATTGCTCTGGCAAGCCCAGTCTTATAAGCAGTACATGCTACACAACATCAGAACTATTTTTCCAAAAAATATATATTTAGCTACAAAGTTGTATTTCTTATTCAATATGGTAGTATCATCATGTAGTTTCTCTTTTGTTTTTACTTGAGTTATACTATTACCTGCCCTACTACCGTAACCACTACCAATTGACAAAAACTGATTAAGAACAATAAAACATGAAGAAATGGTTGGGAATGGGGGGAGATATAAAAATTACTCATAACTCACAATGAACCAGCATTAATATTCTGGTATATTTCCTTCAAGTCTTTTGTCCTATGCATTTTTCTATATTTGAGATCAAACTGTGTATATGTATGTGGGAGATAATTTTTCATTAGAATCTTCCCATGAAATGAAAAATTCTCTCTGAAGATTTTAATACCACAAAATAGGTTATTATAGACAAAGCCTAGCCTTCTGAAATCACTCCCCTTATTTTACATTTAGGGTTGTCCAGTTTTCACTCTCCTGATAAAGTGTGGTGATAAATTCAGTATATAAATTACTGTCCACTTTTTTTTCAGATTGCAGAAATATAATTAGAAGGTCAAAGGATTTCCTTACATAATTTTTAAAGAGGTAATGTTACAAAATAAGAAACTACTTACGGCTTTTTTCCACAAATACTTTGCCTACAGGCTGGCTAATTCCAGTGGGTGCAGTGAATCTGGACTGTTGTTCTGAAGTTGTTTGCTCATCAGTAATTATGTCTTCATCTTCTACTCCTAGTTCATTGGCATACTGTAACTGTGCTCTCTGGGTTTTCCTGTAATCAGGGAGAACATTTTAAAAAAAAAAAAAAGGATTCTTGAATTTTTAAAGAGTCCAAGACTTAGAGTCAAGAAATAGTTTTTTACTCAAATGAGTAAAACATTTCTCTGGGCCTCAGTTTTCTCATCTGGAAAATGTAGATATTTCCAGACTTAAAATTATATGATTCCATATATAAATCAATCACTTTGTAGGGTCACTTTCAAATAAAAATATGTTACATAACTTTCAGGGTATTTCTTACATCATTCTATTTTACCCAAGACAATCTCCTGTGCTAAAACACATAGTATTACTATTGTTAAAATAATCATAATTCAAATTCTAGTAACATGAGGAGATAAATCAAATGGCCTAATTTATTACCTTTAATATCTAATTTTTTGTAATTTATATAAAATAGTCTATTATTTCTTAGAGATGACTCCTTAGGTTTTTATTTAAGTACAATATTGATTTTTTTTTCCTTTCTTAGTTTTTACCTCTTTTCAAATTTAATAGTAGGTTGGTCTGATATTTCATAATGCTAGAGATATACCAAAAAATATTGACCTAATAAGAAACTACCCTTGGTAGCTCTGAATTAAACATCTGAATAATCCTAGAGAAGATTTGGAAGGATAAATAAACTATTACTTTGTCTTCCTTCGTGGTTTTGGAATAACAGCCTCCTCAGCTGGCTCTGCATCAATACCATTTTCATTTCGTAATAAAGATGGATTAGATGTCTTCTTCTGAGTGAAAGAAGTCTCCAGCTCTGAAAATAAAATAAACTATATTTTCAATGACTAAAAGGTAACAATAAAAGTAATGTACAAGACTCTTGTAAGACAAGAGAATTTTAATGGGGCTAAATTTTTTTTTTACTCTTACAAATTCTTAATTTCTGAAAGCTGACATCTATAAATTCTCAACATCTAATTCAAGATAGCAATGCCAAACAGATGGATAAGAGTTAAGTGATCTTAACACCCAGAGTTGGGTTATCTCCAGGTCTAGTGATTTGCTAGAAAGATTCACACAACTCAGAAGCCATGACATGCACTACTACAGTTTATTACAGCAAAAGAATAAAAAGTAGACAGTGCAAAGTTCAGACAAAATCAGGTATAAGATTCTAATAGTCCTCTAATAGTAGCATCAAACAGGATGCATTAATTCCTCCAGAACTGAGTTATCACAACACATGGGGTCTACTCCCTGCCATAGAGACTTAGTACCCAAGGTTTTCATTGAGGGCTAATCAATAGGCTTAGCACATGCCAAAATTCCAGATTCCCAGGAGTTCAGCATAAACTATACTTCATGCACAACTGCACAATGAGCTACCCTTATAGTTTTATGTCAGCGTAAAGAAGTGCTTACCATCTAAGTTCCCATATACTAAAGACCAATCTCACAAGCAAGCCTTGTTAAGAATAGCAGTATCAACTCTCTATGTTAACTCCTTTCTGCACCCAAGGTAGGTATTACGTTTAAATGAGTCAACAGAGACTTCTAACCTTCTAGCTACTCTTCCTTCCTGGAAATATTGGCTCCCAAGAATGCCCTTAAATCCATTCAAATTCAATTTGAATAAAACAATTCTATCCTCAGCTGGAAAGACTATATAAGCAGTGGATCCTACAGTGATCACTCTAAGCAAAAGAAAACAAAATTTTAAAATCTTGCAATTCAGAAAGCTCAACCTGCAAGGTGGAGTACACTCAGGATAGTGACAGGTCTTTACTGAATCCAAGCTTAGTTGGATCCTGAGTTTTCTGAAATTGGTCATTTCTGTTACAGACATTTTTTTTTTTTGCAAACTATAAAACTTGTTATTAATATCCATCTTAATTTTCAAATCTGCCTGTCAATTGAATTACAAAAAGGGTAGCTTTTATTAAACTATATTTAGAGTCAGTGATAAATCATTTCACTGAAATAAAACTCTGGGAATTGTTCCTGGTTTGTTTTTCCTTCTGCTGTCTTCTGCTTTTGCCTTTTCCTCATACTCCATACTCCAGGCTCTGTGGCATCCACTTCAACTTGTCTTCCAAAACTGTGCTGCATTCCCCTCTCTTTTCTATTATTTTTTTATCCTATTATTATTTTTTTTTAATTTTTTTTTTAAATTTTTTATTGTTGGTTGTTCAAAACATTACATAGTTCTTGATATATCATATTTCACACTTTGATTCAAGTGGGTTATGAGCTCCCAATTTTCCCCATATACAGATTGCAGAATCACATCAGTTACACATCCATTGATTTACATATTGCCATACTAGTGTCTGTTGTGTTCTGCTGCCTTTCCTATCCTCTACTATCCCCCCTCATTTTTTTATCCTATTATTTTTTACTCCTATTTTTTTTATCCAATCAGGACCTGCTATTTTATAAGAGGACAATTAATTAGGGAAACTAAATTGTAATAAGTTACTCACAGGGGCTGATGTTAAAAGGAGAGCATTAATCTCACAATCTTATGCTCTTCCCTTTGTTTTACACTGACTAAACCTGTTTTCTTTTTTTCTATTATAAAAGCCATACATACCTCTATGTGAAAATTAGTACAATATAAATGAAAAAAATTAAAATCACTTTACTTTTTAAAAACTTTCACTTTTTTTATATACTTTTATTTTATTTGTTTATTTTCACATGGTGCCGAGGATTGAACTCAGGGTCTCACATGTGCTAGGCGAGTGCTATACTGCTGAGCCACAACCCCAGCCCCAAATCTTTCACTTTTAACACTGCTATATTCTTCCAATTCATTGTATATGTGTAAATGGAATTGTGCATTCAAAAAAAAAAAATTCAAGTCCTAACTCCAAGAAACTGTCAGTATAACTTTATTTGGAAAAACGGTCTTTGCAGATATAATCAAGTTAAGATGAAGTGAGGAGGTAATACTGGATTAGGATGAACCCTAAATCTAATGACCCATTTCTTTATATTTAAAGAGGAAAATTTGGACCCAGATACACAGGGGAAAATGTGAAGATGGAGGCAGAGATTGGCATTTTGCTGCCACATAATGCTAGAAAGACTCACAGAACTCAAAAGTCATGACACACACATTAAAGTTTATTACAGCAAAACAATAAAAAAGTAGACAGAGCAAGGTTAGACAAAATCAGGTTCAAGATTTCAATAGTCCTCTAATAGTAGAGGATTAATTCCTCCAGAACTGAGTTATCTCTACACATGGGGTATATTCCCTGCCACAGAGACTCAGCATGCAAGAATGCCAAGGATTCTTAACAATCACTAGAAGCTAGAAGATGCAAGGAAGGATTCATCGTAGAGCATTTAGGGGAAGAGCAGCCCTATCTGTGGACACCTTGATTTCATATTTTTATCGTCCAGAATACATTTCAGTTAAGCTATCCAATTTGTGGTAATTTGTTACCCGACCCCAGGAAACTAATCTGTTAAAAAAAGTTGGAATCCTCCAATGCATACTATTTTGTAACCTCTGTTTGGGATTTACCAATAGTCAGTTTTCCATATCACTGTTTCACTTTAACAATTCTTTTAAAGAAATAATTGGTTTCCGTTTATTGGCTAAATCATGTTTATTTATAGTATCATGTTGTTAAGTATTTGGTTATTACCATTTTCTACTCTTAAAATAATGTTGCTGATAACATTCTTTCATTACCATAGCTATTAGGGTTGTTTTATTTCTAGCAATCCGGACAGGCTATGTCAGTTTACACTCCCATCAGTGTTTGAGTCCATTCCTCTAAACACTGGGTTTTCTAATTTGAAAACAATCATTGCCAAAAAGCATTACCAAAAAAAAAAAAAAGATGATATAGTATTCTGTTTACCTTGTGAACAATTCATAGAATAAAGACTCAATAAGTGTCAGCTAGTGTTTTCATTATATTATCATTAACACAGAAGTTATGCTTTCTTCACTAATCTAAAATGTCTATTTCTTTCTTTTTTTTTTTTTTTTTTTTTTTTTTTGCAGTACTGGGGATTGAAGTCTGGGTCTTTTTAATATTTTGACTTTAAGCCTGGCCTTAAACTTGATCCACCTGCCTAAGGTTCCTGCGTCTACTGGGTTTACAGGGAAGTACCACCACACCTGGTATCACTTACTAAATTCTTATGTATACCAAGATCTGAATTTTCTGTTTTAGTCCTAAATTTGTACATGTATTATCAAAAGAGGCCTGTAACATGTTCCTGACTGAAGTCAATGGAGTTGTAGTGGTAAATATTTTAAGAAAGAAAGCAAGAAAACACCTGTGAGAAATGGATGGGGGAAAAATGAGGGTAGATATGTTATTATCATACCCCCACTCACAACTGCTAACATATAAATGAAGAAAATAAAAATCATCCTTCCTTCTTAAAAATCTACCACTGTTAACATGCTACGTCCTTCCATTCTTTGTGTTTGTGTGTGTTTTCTGTGTCAAATTGTGCTCCCCCCAACAAAAAAAAAAAGGAAAAGAAAAAAATGTTTTCAAGTCCTAACTTCCAGAATCTATAAGTATAACTTAATTTGGAAATAAGATCTTTGCAGGGGCTGGGTTTGTGGCTCAGTGGTAGAGCATTTGCCTAGCATGTGTGAAGCACTGGGTTCAATTCTCAGCACCACATACCAATAAATAAATTTTAAAAAAGATCTTTGCAGATATAATCAAGTTAAAATGAGGTAATGCTGGATTAATTTTCTTGGTTCTTCACATACCAAGAGGTAGCCTCGTCTTCCTCTGTCTCCTTTGAACAGGAGCCTCTGGATGCTCTTTGAGTTCATTAGTTGGTGGCTCAATGCCCTCAGATGATCTATGAACAACAGTCTCATCAAAACCTTCCAAAGAAGCACTAGCTACAGGGGAAAACAGAGCAGGAAAACATGGGTAACTTGAACAGAGATTAATCAGTCTTTAAAAGATAGGAAAAAGATTAACTAAAATGTTTCCTGCAAAGTAACACTTTCTCTTTCAGAATTGGGCCTCAAATCTTATTTTCTTCCCCCTCACTTGTAACTTTAGACTTTAAGTTAAGCAAACATATAAATGAGGAAATAAGAAAGGCTGAGGAAGAAAAGAGTAGGGGAGGGCTAGAAAGAAGAATACTAGAAGGGGAGAAGGACAAAATGGTTCAGAATATTTAGAATTATCAAAAAGGTAAAAATATTATAAAAGTTGACACCATAGAGAACTCTTCTACTTGTCTCCTGCCTTAAGAATTTTTATCAGCCTCTAATCCTTCATTATTAACCCATAATGAAGTCATCACAGATAATTAATCGGATAACAGGTAATTTATAAATCTCTTCATTTGTTCATTCATTTCAATCTCTCCCCTCATGAAATATTTTAACAGGATTTCAATAATTTCACTTGACTACATTTGCTTGCCTATCTTCTTTACAAAAAGAAGAAATAGAAATGTATTAATAAGCAAATTAAAATATATAACCTCACTAGTATTTGAGAAATGCAAACTAAAATAAACTACTTTTCACCCCATTTAATTAATTTTGAAATTAATCAAGTGAAATTTAGAAAATATAACACTCTTAAACTCTATTGGTGGTGAGAAAATAACTAATGCTTCGGTGAAAGCAATTTAGCAGAATCTATCCTTTCAGTACATTGCTGGGATCTTGTCTCTACCTGATTTGTGAGTTTTGTCACATCTCACGTCCTGGGGAAACCTGTGATCCCATGCTAAAAAGAACGTCTTACCTAGTGTAGCTTTGGTTCTGGACTTCTTTCTTTTAGGACGACTTTGTGAAACATCATCTATAAAACAAAGAACATCAACAGAAAAGCCTACCTAAAATTCAATGCAGAGGAGAGTCAAAAGAGAACTGTTGGTTGGGAATATTTTCCCTCTCTTCCCTGGATCCAGCTAACTTCTACACATTAGAAGGGAAAGGCAAGAAACTGACAAGGTCAAAGAGAACCCATAGGGTGGCATCAGTAGTACACTGATCAGTAATGTCAGAAACAGTGATAATAGAAAGTGAGTTTAACAAACGTTCATCTGACTTCCAAGCCTCTTGCACTTAGGTGTGGCCTCTGATGGGTTATAGTCAATGGGCTATGAGTAGAAGGGATATATATCTGCCTCTGGTTCTACAACCCTGAAGGTGCCTGATCTTGTCTGACTTTAAAAGCTAAGCAGATAGACCTGGTTAGCACTTGAATGGGAGAAATAATCTGTGTTACATGGAGGCCAAAACATCTGCTATGTTAAGAGCAGCATGTTAAGATTAAAAAAACAAAAGATAGAAGTAACCAGGATTTTATATCATTATTGAAGAGGAAAAGGAGGGCAACTTTGTTGCCACAATGAACTTTGCAATTAACCTAATATTATTTCTAATAATCCTACATGATATTAAGTCACTGAGATTTGAAAGTGGTTAGTGTAGCATGATCTTTCCTATGCTGACTAAATGAGGGGGCAAAAAAAGGGCAATCTATCTTACAGTTATAAACTAGTCAACAGTTATGTTCTGGGTAACTTCTTTCAGGGATGAAGTGCTCTTATAATAAAGCAATCTGGTGTCATACATCATTCATAATTAATAAATGGAAGATGATTATGACTAGTAGATACTATAGTATTATCAATGACACTATTCAGATATAATTTTAAGAGAAACAAACTAAGAAATCAAACTGATTTTTATTTTTGTAGCGGGAGAGAGCACTTATTTTTGGGATATGGTCTGTGTTGCCCAGGCTGGCTTGTACTCCCAGGCTCAAGCAATCCTGCTGCCTCAGCCTCCCAAATAGCTTAGACTAGAGGTGTATATCCCCATGCCCAGCTTTCAAACTTATGTTTGAACACCAAAAACTATATTTAGAAAATTTTATATTAACAGCAAACTAACTCACCTTGAACAGCACTTCATATGACACCAACCAAATTTAATAGGCACAACAAAGACAAAAAAGGAAACTATTAATTAGAAATTTATTGCATGAATGAAAACTGACTTAAATAATTACAAATTTAAAGTAAAAATAGTTTTTATAATGTCAGCTAGTTATAAACTACCTTATCAGTAATAACTAATAAGCCTTTTAATTGCACTGCTAATAAAATAACCCCCAAATTTTCCTGAATATATTCCTTGCTGTCTATTAATAAAGTGGATTAAGCAGATTAAGAACTCTTATTTGTCACTGACTAAAATCAGCTTAAACTCTGAGGAAACTATTCTAGCAAACAAAAGAGGATCAAAATTCTGATAAACAAGACACTAAAACATTCAGAATGGATTCATTGTTCTATCATGTTGATATTCAGGCTTTCAAATAGAACTTTTAATTATAACTGTTATTTTCATGATTCAAGGATTTTTTTTTCCTTTAAAACTTTAGGAACCCTTTTCCTAAAATGTTCAGGAAGTTTTCTCTGAAGCATCATATTTTTTTCAATGGCACTAGTCAATTTTTCCACTTTACTCATTTTACATTTTTAAAACTCAATAATGAAATTAGTGAGATTTTTACCTTGGTGCAGGTGGAAGTGCTCGTGGAGGACGCTATTGGAGAGGGGAAGAAAGAAAATTGCTTGTAAGTAAAATCCTGGAGCATCTTACCATCATGTATCTCAAGTACCATAAAGCTATCCTCTAAAAAGCCTATTGTTCAGACACAGCAGGAAAATATAATGGATCAGATGAATATCCTCAAATCTTTTGATAACTGTGTTCATCAGCAAAACCTGGGAGGTACTGATATAAATCAGATGGGTCAGTGTAAATTTGTTCTACCATTTCTAAATTTCACATAAAATTCTTTCCTTCTTACATTTCTTTCTGTCCACAAGCCAGGCCCCATTTTAAGCATTAGGGATGGGAACAAAAGAGAGATCAGTGCTTTTCTGAGCCTACATTGTAGTGATTAAGCATTAGAAGATAAAGTATATATAATAAAATACACATTTTATGATAAAATATGTAGATATGTATATATCTACATGTTATATATGATAAAATGTATATCTATATATGATAAATAAACATATATATGATTTTAAAATGAGGAGTGCTACTTAGGGAAAAGTTTCTCTGAGATACATGAGCTAAGACATGAATGAATAAGGTAATGGGCAGCAAATGCTAAATCCTTCGGGCAAAACTAAGCAAGGCTGCAGCACAGTTATCAAGAACATGTAGGAAGGAATCCGATTAATTAGGGCCTTGAAGACAAAGGGAAGAAATCTGGATTTTGTTTGAATTAAATGGGAAGCCAGTGGAAGTTTTAAGCCAAATGGTAATATGCTTTTTAAAAAAATCACTTTGAATACACAGTTTAGAATGGATTTTACGACAAAAAAATGGGGGTGGGCTCAAATATGCTGCTATACATGAATAAAAAAGTGTGTGCAGTTCAGAAAGTACTACAGTTAAGAAGCATTCTGAAATATTTCAAAAATAAATACAGAAATGCCTACAAGCGAATTTAATATTCCAGGTAGCTCATGCTGCTTGCAGAAGACACTGATTCCAAAGGGTTACATTTTAGACACCCTGGTAGTCTGTCCCATTCAGCACACTACGTTCTATTTAGCAGTCCATTCAAACCCTAGTTTTAACACAAATGCTACAAGATTACGACAAGACAGGATGTCTTAATACTATTCCATAGTCAAAACTACAACTGGAAAAGAATGAGAGGGCAAAGTCTGGTGAAAACACTATTCTCAAGTTCTATCCAAGGACCCAGAACCCTAGATAACTGCAGCATCTCAAAAGCCCCGCAAAAAAATGACGTTTCCTCCGTACAGAAACCTAACTTCTAAGACCCTCGAAAGTAGATGGCTCAACTGAAGACAAAAGTCCTAACAGCTCCAAAGTTACTAAGGCTCGCTTACCACCTGCTTCTTCCCCATTCCGTCTTCAGCCCAGCCAGCGACCGCGGGCCTCGGGCGCAGAGCGCCACTCTGCCGCCTGGCTGCCCGGCCTCGCGCAAGCGCAGTGCGTCATCGGGCTGCGCCTTACAGGCCGTCCAGCGCCCGTGACCCCTGAGGAAGATGTGAGGGGGACAGGGGCGCTGGGACCTGGTTTGACCTTTCCAAACCAGCACTACGGAAAAGGGGCCTCCGGATCGCGGCCAAACTGCCCGGGAGCCGAGACTCCAGCGGGGATGGGGCTGCGATCACGGTTTCCCCCATGGTTGGCTAAGTGCTTGCCGTGATTTATTGTGGTGGGGGTAGGGGTAGAGAATAGGAGAGGAGTCCTTGATTGAAAGGCTGAAAGGCCTGTCTGGGAGCTCTCGGAACCCGGGCTTTAGCTGCAGCACCGCATCCCGCCCGGGGACGGCCAAGCGACGCGTCGTCATGGCAACGCGAACTCAGGCGTCGGGAAACTTCCTGTTTGTCCCCAGCCCCTTCCCACCCTAGACAGGCTCCAGGGGCCGGTACGCACCACACGAATGCAAGGCCTCCTGATACCCGCACGCTGGAATCGGCCCTGCCCCAGGATAGCTACTGCTTTAGGGCACCCTCGGGCCCGCCAGCCCCAGGGGCAGACGCGACCCTCGCCCGCTCACCGGGTGGCCCTCCTCCAGCGGAGGCCCGGCGTGGGTCCTCATGGTGCTCTCCCCCAGGCTTCTTCGAATGCAGCGGACCAGAGCCTCGCTCTCCGCGACACCGCGGCCTACAAGACCTGCGAGATGCTGGAGCTTCGTGGCACCGGGCGAGGCCACCACTCCCTGGTCCAGATCCCCGCCCGCCCCCGATTTGACAGGCGGCTGGCTTAGAACTGAAGGAATCCGTGCCTGCCTGCCTTTTTATTAAGGCGTGCAATTCTGCTTTTCTCCAAAAAAAATTCTGCTCAACCTCCATCCTACATCAAGTTTGGAGAAACTTTTTCTCAAAGAACCACAACATAAAATCAAATCGGATCTCACATAAGTATTAAAAAAGACAATTTTCTTCGTAATTTTTTTTTTTTCCTTAGAAATGTTAAGGGCTGGAATTGTAGCTCAGTGGTAGAGTACTTGCCTAACACGTGTGAGGCTCTGGTTTTGATCCTCAACACCACATAAAACTAAATAAACAAAGATATCATGTCCATCAGCAACTAAAAATATTTTTTTAAAGGAAAAAAATGATGCCTTGCAGTGGGAACTTTGTCTCAGTGAAGACAGACAGGAAATCGAGTCAAGGCGAGCAGGAACATACAGGCTAAGCTTTTATTGGGCCTCTACTTGGGAAGGGAGACACAGCTCCACAAGAAATAAAAGAGCTCCTTTTATTGGCTCTTAGTAGAGATGGGGTTAGGAATGTTAATTGGCTTTAGAAACTCTTCAAACTGTGAGGTCACTTCAAGCATCTTTGCCCTGTGATAGGGATGAATCGCCTGAAACCACCTTGGTTGTAATGATAGTGGATAAATGAGGCACATTTGTTATCTGAAAATCTGCGAGTGAAATGGGACCTTTTAATGGCTGTCAGGCTATGAGCCAAGGCCCAAGAGTGCTTTTGCCCTTTGTCCCTATGATGTCCCCTGATTATATCAGAAAGATAGCAATTTGTTATCTAAGTAAAAAAGAACCATAAGTATTTTTGAATCATACACTCTGCTTTATACTTAAGAAAGAGACTGGAGGCATGGTGTACATATGGAGAAAGAAAGTGATGCAAAAGATTAACAAATATACGGGCAGGGAGAGCAACTGAAAGTCTCAGATCTAGGAAAAGAAAGAAAAGTAAGTCTTTGGAATAATATCCTCATCTTATGGTGTTCTCAGATCTACAGGACTAGTCCATCATCTTTTCCAAATTTAGGCATACATATGGATGTTGGCTTTTAGGAAAATTTATGATTGTTATACCTCTGATCAGAAGAATATGTGTTCCTTGTAGCCTGATTCATAAATGACAATGGCATTTGTAGAAGTTTTGATGTTAGATATGAAATGTACATATTAGCTATTTTTGCTGATTTTGTCCAGTAGGCACTTTTTGTAAAAACAAATTTCATAAAACAAGTTTCATGAACTAAAAATACAGTTTCTGAAATTAAGTACTGTTTATTTTATTTAGGAAAGCTCTTTTTACCTGAAACTTAGACCATATGAAATCTATGAAAGGTTCTCATTTTTAGCAACTTAACATAATTCATATTTCTACCAATTTTCATATAAAGTAAAGGGAAAAAAATGCCTAAAAGCCAAACAGGTAAATCTGTGTAACCATACAATAACATATCTAACCATACATTTTAAAAAATAATAATAATTAATAAACTACAGTACTTCACAAGTTGTACACATTATAATGGGTCAAATAATACTGTTTTAGATTGCAACTGTCATTTCAGATCTCTGAAACAAGGGTATAATATTAAAACTTCAGTTTTAAGCAGGAGGCTTGATTAAGACTCAGCATCAGTGGAAATCCATGTTGCTGGTACCCACTGAGGCTCTTCCTGAGCCTTCTGTACTGCAGACAACAATTGGGCACATGCATCTTGCAAGTTGTCATTCACAATCACATGATCAAAAAACTGGCCAAACTGAATCTCTATTTTTTTGGCTAAATCCTCCATCTCTTGTAGGTCTTCATCCTTCAGAGAAAAAAATATATATATATATTGATGGCACAGACTTAGTGACACAGAAATAATAAACAATTTGTTATACTGTCACATTCAGTTGTGAAGTAGTTTATAAAAACATGTTAAATAGGGGCTGGGATTGTGGCTCAGCGGTAGAGCACTCGCCTAGCATGGGTGGGACCTGGGTTGGATTCTCAGTACCACATAAAAATAAAGGCATTGTGTTGTGTCCATCTACAAAAAAGATTCATATTCTCTCTATCTCTCTCTTTAAAAAACATGTTAAATAAATGCCCTCTATTCTATATTACAAAACTTACATATTTGACCTTTAGTCTTACTCAATGTCTCTCTCATCAGTATTGCAAATTTTAGGAATAGTTTATAGACAAATTACTCCTCAACTTCCCATGTAGACTTATTTTGCTCCATTATCTACATATTTGAAGCTCTCAAACCATATGTGGCATAAAACCAAAGGAAAATTACCCACTTAAATAAAATTTAAATGTAAATTTCAAATGAACATTAACCCAATAAGAATGACATTATTTTGCAGATACAAAATGACCACTTGCGACATTAGGGTAGTCTGACATATTCCTATTGCATTGGGCATACATAAATTACCTTTTGTTCTATAATGACATAATTTACCTATAATATTGTCTATTTCTTCCCTTGTGAAATGGTCCTTAAAAGAAGGTCATTTGGCCTTCATTTGTCCCTAGGCACTAAATTCATTGCTGTTGTTTTCTTAGTTGTCTACAACAATTAGAATAGCACAATTTGTTGCCAATGCAATCTTAAATGCACATATAAATGCTGGCATAGAAATATGTGGCAGTATTTCTTTACAAGGTGATAATCATACTCATGATCCAGAAATAATTTTATTAATTTGTTTAGACGGCTACAAATAAGAACACACTTTTTTTGGAAGTGTTGGAAAGGATCCCCGGGCGTCACACATACTAGACAAGTGCTCTACCACTGAACTACATTTTTTTAAATAAACCTGTCCCTTTTTAAAACTTTTTAAATTTTTATTTATTTATTTATTTGTAGTTGTAGATGGAAAGCATTCTTTTATTTGTTTCATTTTTATGTGGTGCTAAGGATTGAACCCAGGGCCTCATACATGCTAGGCCAGTGCTCTGCCACTGAACTATAGCCCCAGCCCCTAAACTACATTTTTTTTTAAATTTTGAAACAGGATATCACTAAATTACCTCAAACTTGTCAATCTCCTGCCTTAGTCTTGAGTAGCTGAGATTACAGGCAAGCACCACCACACCCGGTGAGAACACAATTTTAAATGCCCAAAAGACTCAAGAAAATACATTCATGGACTCCAGTCCAAAAGGCAAATTTAATATTCATTGAAAAAATATGATGACAAAAATAGTTAAAAATGAAAGGTAATATAAAGCCACTTTGTGCTTACTTTGGCAGCACATATACTAATAATATAATAGTATGGAGATTAGCAATGTCCTCTCTGCAAGGATAACATGGAAATTTGTGAAGTAGTCATATTTTTAATTTCAGTTTAGCAAGATGAAAAATATTTGACTCTTTACAGTAATGTGAATATACTCAACACTATTGAACTGTACACTTGGTAAAGCTGGTAGGTAGGTTTTATGTTGTGCATTTTTTACTTCCCTCACACACAAATAAGTATAATATCTTAGTCTAGGTGATGGTTGTAGGGTGCATACAACATGTAAAAATTCATTGAGCTGTACACATAAGATTTATGCACTTTAATGTATCATATCTTAGGACCCAAAACATCTCAAGTGGATTTAATTTAAATATACACATACATGCATACATACATGTATGTATGTATGTATGCTTAGTTTCTCTATTATTGCTATCATCATTAATAAGAGTTTTTATTAGGGACTGAGATTGTGGCTGAGCGCTAGAGTACTTGCCTAGCATGTGTAAAGCACTGAATTCGATCCTCAGGACCACATAAAAATAAATAAGTAAGCTGGATGGGTGGCACACGCCTTTAATCCCAGAGGCTCGGGAGACTTGAGGCAGGAGAGTTCAAAGCCAGATCAACAAAAGCAAGGTGCTAAGCAACTCAGTGAGACCCTGTCTCTAAATAAAATACAAAATAGGGATGGGTGGGGATGTGGCTCAGTGGTTGAGTGCCCCTAAGCTCAATCCTTGATACCCAAAATTAATTAATTAATTAAAAGTATTGTGTCCGTCTATAACTAAAAATATTTTTTTAAAAGTTTCTGTGAGATACCTCATATTACAAAAATACATTCACTAAAGCATTTTTAAAAATTAATGTCCAAGTAAAAATAAATGATCTGTTCAAAATATAAATATGCTTGTACATACCCATTTCTGTTTGGCTTTGCAAACTGTGGCATGAGGGTCTTTTTTTAAAAAAAAAAAAACTAGACCCCCAAAAATAAGCATCGTAGCATTTACTAACTTTATTTAAATATCTATAAGTGATGTCCAGTAAAAAAGAATAAAATATAAGGGCATTACTCATTAGGAACAAAAATTACATTCTTTGATATGGGGATCATGTAAAAGCAATACAATGATTTTTATTTTCTTATTTTTTATTGAACCATTCTGAGGGACTCTTGGGGAAAGGATCAAAGAAGGGGTGAGTAGGACAATGAGGTCAAGGTCTTCAGCTCAGCCCAATCTGGCTTGGATCTCCTGGCCTCATCATCACTGACAGAAATACAGTAATTTTTTTAGTTGATCTACCTTGAACTTCATGTCCACAAAGTAGTCAGTGATAATCTTGGCATTTTTCCGAGATTGTTTCATGCAACTCAGGCTAGATGGCTTTATAAATATAACATAGGGCTTCAGTTCATGGGTTCGAGCCGCTTGAATATCCTACAAAGAAAAAATTGAATGTACATTTAAAAACCAGACTCCTAACTTCCTAGAGTCAACAGGAATATTCTCAAAACTTCTAAGAAGACCAGAAATAAACTAATAGTCTCATGAACTCCCAACTCCTCAACTCTAAAATAGTAAATGTTTTTTAATAATTAAGAGATGGGGGAGATGGGGTTCAAGAATCAAAATTAAGTTTCAATCCTGGTTCTTCCTCTTTCTAGTTATGACTTGCTACGTAAATCTTACAAGCTGATTAAGTTCTATTATGTGACAGAATCTTACTGAGAATAGGATCCTATATATGATTTCATATGACACAGACAGAAACTCAAGATGAGTCAACCCTGTTTCACCCTCATTTCTCTTTCCTTTTGCTATCACCTTATGTTGGATACTGCTACCATCTTCACCTTGACCACTGGCTTTGACCCAATGAAAAAGAATCTCTCTTCCTTTGATTCTCTCTAGCATACAAAGTATATTTTTAATGTTTTTATTAGTGCATTATAGATATACCTAACATTGGGGTTCATTTTGACATAATCATATAAGCATGAAATATAATTTGCTCTACTTCAGTCCCCAGTACTTCCCTTTTCCTTCCTCTTCTTCCTCCCTCTGTTCCCCTTCCTCTAGTCTTTCTTCTACTTATTTATAGTTTTTTTAAATTAGTGCATTATAGACATACATAAAGGTGAAATTCACTGTGAGATATATATATATATATATATATATACACACACACACACACACACACACACACACACACATATATATAAAGTATGCTAAACATAGCATAATTTGGACAATTTCATTCCACCATTCCTCTCTTTTCCCATTTACCCTCCCTCCCCCCCTCAAGCCCTTCCAATGCTCCACTGACTTCCCTTCTATTTTTATGGGACTCTGCACACACACACACACACAAAAAAAAAAAAAAAAAATTTCTCCTTTATTTTAGTTTCTGCATACGAGAGAAGACATTCAACACTGATTTTATAAGTCTGGCTTATTTCACTTAACATGATGTTCTCTAGTTCCAGCAAATGCCATAATTTCATTCCTCTTTTATGGCTGAGTAAAACTCCGTTGTGTATATACACCATGTTTTCTTTATCCATTCATCAATTGATGGGCCTCTGGACTGATTCCATAACCTAGTTATTGTGAGTTATACTGCTATATACATTGAAGTAGCTATATCACTATTGAATACTGATTTTAGTTCTTTTGGAAAAATACCAAGGAGTGGGATTGCTGTGTCATGTGGTGGTTCCTTCCTAATTTTTAAATGAAAAATGAAACAATCTTGGAAAAATGCCATACTGCTTTTCAAGTGGTTTTACTAATTTGCAGTCCCACCTACAATGTAGGAATATATACCTTTTCCCACACATCCTCACCAGCATTTATTATTATTTGTATTATTAATGATTGCCATTCTGACTGGATGAGATAAAATGCCAATGTAGTTTTGATTTGCATTTCCCTACTTGCTAGGGATGTCAAACACTTTCATATATTTGTTGGCCAATTTATATTTTTAAATGACTAAGAAAATATGAATCAAAAAAAGTGAACCTATTCCTTGCATGCTCTTGAACTTACCCTATGTTGCTCACCCCTGCTCCTCTACATGTGGTCTCAGAGAATTAATAAAGACATGAAAACCTAGGAACCTCACCCTCCTTGTACACAGCCACATGTTATTGCTTCCACAAGAAGTTACCTTGATGCATTTATGATGAAGGTCAAAGCAAGAAAGATTCTAAATTTTCTTTATGACCAACTTTTCAGTTCTGTTCTTGTGTCTGAGAAGCAAGAGTTCTCCCATAACTGAGAATAAGATGTTAGGAACTGATACTTCAAGTAACAACCTCGTCCTTAGAGAGGGGGTCTTATAAGGCTAACAGAATAAATGTCTCAGCTATAACCTGCAGCATGTGCATAACATGGGTGATGCACTCATGACTTTGGGGCGATCAGAAAAATTGCCACACACACCCACCTGAGGCTCTAAGTCCATGACACAGACCTTTCCTTCATCAAGGACAGCATTAACAGCGTCCACACTAGTGCCATACAGGTGGCCTTTGTACTCACCATACTCCAGCATCCTGCAGGGGTAGAACAAAGGAAACAAGAACTTCTCTACAAGTAAAATCATAGTAGTAACATGAAAATAATTTCCAATAGAATTGAATATAAATATAGAGATTTATATTTGCTTGCAAAGAAAATAATTAGTGGATACTCGGTGGGAGAAAATATATTAGAAGACATAGGTCTTAACTATTTCCTCAGATTCTCTAAATTTTGCAACCTGATTCTGCCCCCTTTCCAAAACCAATGGACTGGTGTACTAGTGTATCAATGTACATTTCCTTACTTAACTCTTTAGATCAGAGGAATTTTCCCCGAGGAGCTTTAGAAAATGCATTTTAAAAAATGGAGAATGTCAAACATTTTAAATTTCAAACAACTAGCAGCAAGAATTAGCTTCTGAACGTTACCTGTGACTATACATGAGGTTTTCAAATGTTTCTTTCAACACATAGTGATATTCACGCCCATTCATCTCATAACTCTTTGGGGATCGAGTAGTATCTATGAAAAAGAGGAATGAAAGTTTTCAGAATCTTCAAAATATTTTGCTTTGTTATCGATATGCATTTGGATAAAGAAGCTTGATCAAAACAAATAAGTGAATACGTAAACAAACAGATAAGTAAAATGCAAAAACCAAAAAGAGGAAGGCTGAATTGGTGATAAGAAAGAAGTTTTCATATCATAAACAATCAATAAACCTTTATTGAGTGCTCAGAGTGTGGAAAAGAATGTATTGGTATTAAGCCAGGATAAGAAGGCCCTAACAGAACACCTGCTAGAATTCAAAACAGGAGTCTGGGGATGTAGCTCAGTGGTACAGCACTTGCCTAGCCTATGGGAGAGCTTGGGTTCAATTCCCAGCACTGGGGAGAAAGTCCCTTAGTCAAAACAGACAATGATTAATTATGTGTGGACCCTAAAATTCCTGTATACTCCCAGTTAGCAATACCAACAGTACCTTTCGATTGGATAGTACCTTTCTAATTATTTCATTTCATCCCCCATACTCCTAGCTAGATGAATGTTACTATTTATATTTTCCTGAAAAGTAACTCATGCTTTGGGAGAGTAACTAGCTTTCTCACATTCATGAGACTAATGAAAAGTGAAGGTGAAACTAGAACCTAGGTATTCTGCCTCCTCCTAGACTACTATTTTCTGTTCTACCAGATTGTCTCAAATTTGAAATGGAAAAAGTCCATGTCATTCTGCAGTCTTGCTCAAATGAAATGTAATAGTACCCAAGTCAGTATGGTGATTATTCTTGGAGATGACTGAAAGGAAAAGTTAGGCCAAGTCTAGATTCAGTCTGATTCTTTGATATGGCTGCTTTAATTTTAGAATCAACTTAAATAACACTTGGTAGAAAATATAGGAGTTCATCAAATACCTAAAAGTGAGTTACTTATTGTCTGCTCATCCATTTATTCAACTAATGTGTACTGCGGGCCTTCTGTGTTCCAAATATCATGTTAGGTTCTTAGAACTCAGATGAATAATACACAGTTCCAACTCTGTATCCCACATGCTGCAAAGCTAGTTCCTTACTCTCCACTACAAAAATCTTCCCTTATTAATAAAGAACTTCTGTTTTTGCATTTGATAAAGTTTAAAGATGAAATGGATCAATATCTGATGATATCAAAACATGGAAATGACCAAGCCAGAGCTGGAAACACACCCTAAATGATCAAAGTTACAGACCTTCAAGTGGCTCAAAAAAAGTAAATGCCATCTTGGGGTCATTTTTGTTTTTTATTCATTCAAGTCTCTAAGATGACTCCTTCTCCTTTTTTTCAGTTGGACTGATATTTTATAAAGTAGGTTAAAGTCCACAAATTAATACAGAAGCGGGATAGCCATTTTAAGTTTAAAACTGTTCAGCTAACTTAAAAAAACAAAATATGGGCATTTTTTTCCCCTCACTTTGAATGATAGGTATCCATGCCCCTTAAAATTCTTCTACGATCTGTGGGCATCTTGCTTTTATCTGGACTACTGAAAAATGGTGATTTCTTAGTTTTTGTCTTTGAGATTAATGTCTGCTCTTGCATATGTAAGCGATATTTCACAAAACACAACTGATGGGGTGGGACCATAAAGCAACATTGATGGTCTCCCATTGCCTCTGGGAAGCAAGACCTTCCGTTGCCTTGGAAGAAAATCTAGTAGTTCCTCAGACTTTTCTGATCAGCCTTAGGTTTAATTTTAAACAATTTTTAAAGTCTACCATCATTCCTTCCACAATTACATTTTCTTCATTCAGATTCAATTTAATAATTTAAATTCCTTTTCCATGTAATAATCAAAATTATGAGCTGCATTTATATTTTTGGCATTTCTTCACATCTGTCTCAAATGTGTTGCACAGAGGGAAGCCTGAAGTTAGAGAAGCCAGAGGTCAAGAAAGGGAATAATATTCTCTTCTCTTTCTTTTCATTGCATTTCTACCACTCCTCCCTCCGTTTTATAACTCTCCAAAGCTAAAGTGCAGGCAGAGAAAGGAAAAACAGGTCAGAGAAGTTTCCACTTGACGAATACCAAGGCTGCCCTTTAGACTTGTCAGATGTTTAAATCTGGCTCTTTCTCTCATAGATGAGGTATTGGACTATTTTGCAAACCCTACCACCCTACCATCACCACCCACACAACAACTGGGGCTCGCAAATCCAATCTCTTTTCCAGCTTGTCTGTGTAATTCCTTCTATACTCTGATGCGTCTGGGAGTCCCTTTTGGTTTTCAACTGAGGCCTCCTCTTGGGCAGGTGCTAAAATAATCCCAGGCTGACATTTTCCCACACCATCTACCCAGATTTGCCTGTCTACACAGGCAGCTATTTCCCAAAGTCACCATTGGCCTCTTGCTCTAATCTCTTGTCCTTCAGATTTTTCAGGAATAATTCTAACATCAGTCTTCTGTGTTCCTCCCTCTACATTCCCTCCATGTAGGGAGCACATATAAAGCTCCCTAAATTAGTCTCCCTATGTTCCTTCCTCCTGTTCTGAAGGGAAGGGGAAACACCACACCCACATGCTCTTCCCACTCACATTGGCCTGGAAGCCATCCCACAGCATGGCTTTCTCCAGTAAAAGTGTCCTTAAAATCTCCCATTATTTCTATTCCTGCCCCCTTTCACTCTGCTTATATGTGCGCCAGGCTTAAATAATTTCTACATTCCTCACTTAAAAGTTTACATCTTAGTGCCTCAGTTAAAACTTTACCCTCCTTTTACATGTAATAGACTATATATGATTAGAAACTTTCTATTTTCTTGAACTCAGGAATTCTAAGTCTTTGTCTTCTATATTTTTGCAACCAAACTGAGTTTCTTAGAGTGATTTTAAAGGTTTTTTTTTTTGAATAATGAAGCAAATAATAATAATACCTTATTTTTTAGAAGTACAGTTCTCAAATATCTTAAAACTTAGAAAACATACTCTGACTGGATAATGAATATAGAAAAATCTGAAAGATTGCATCTTGGGAGGTGGTAGTGGTGAACAGGTAGCTTATGAGAAATAAAGGAGCCCTGGGTAAAAGGTAATAAGAGAATATGATTTTTAAAAACACCATGTGTGGTTTAATCATACTTAAAATTTACATAAAGTTATATGTGCAAATATTATTTTTTTAGATTAAAAAAATAGTAAGATAGGCAAGAGCCAAGAACAGTGCCAGGAAGATAAGATATTTTAGCCTTTTTGCTAAAATATTCGTTTTCCTGAGAGGTCATTTATATTACTGTTAAGAAATGGAAAGTCACATTTGAAAAGCCTCTCCATCTGAAATGCCAGTATATAGTTAGAAATACTTAGGGACTATCCCTTGTGTCTTACAACAATATGACATGGTTAAGTAAGATTGGGACATTTGAAATAAAGTTTTACCAAAACATGAACTGCTAAAACAGAAACCAAACGTACGTGGCACAGCACTCTGAAAATGGTTGGGATTAAATTCAATAAGTTGTCTTCTCAGCTCAGTGACTCCAACGCCAGAAGGTCCTAAATATAAAAAGAGTCACATACAGAAAATCATTAGATGTGCATACAAATAATTATGTGCTAAGGTCATTATTTCAGTCCTTTTATTGAAGAAACTTGAGAGCAAATGTTTCTTGGGGAAATTATGTAACATCCTTTCTTGTGAATCAATAAAACTCTTGGGAATTTTCTTGGTGACCGGTCGAGTAACCCACACTGCTTCAACATGCAGAAATGAGGTAAGGAATTGCAAGCGCCTGTTACTCCAGTGAACTTTTCCTAATGTTGGATGCTGTGAGAACTTGCTGGTCTCATTTAGGATAATCTGAGACATCCTGCCTTTCTTCTTCAAATGAAGTTACTAATATATCACAGTCAGAAATCAGACAGCCATAGGTTCTGTGACTTAAGGAATTCAAGGGCACATTTCTGACTGGTAGTTAAATCAGCAAAATATGTCTAACTGGAAGCAGGGCTGATTTTCTGAGCACAGAGGGCCCATGCTTAGGATACCTTACTTGCATTAATGCTTTGCTATTCTACCTTGAAGTCCTAATAATTTGAACAAACAACTCTTATGTTTTCATTTTACACTATTCCTTGCAAAGGAGATAACTGGCTCTATGACATGTTCTGCCCTGCAGGGGCCTGCCCTGCTCACAGCTGAACAGAAAATGGTAGTAAGATATAAGCTGCTAACTTTGTAGCGATCTTGGTTACAAAAGCAAGACACTCAAGCTCAACATTTGCCTGGTTCTTTAGTCCCAAAAATAGAGTACAGAAGACTTCAGCCACTTTTCTGGAGGAAATGGTTACAAAGTTCTTAGGGAAATCAACTTTAAGTGTTTATTTTCCTAACACAGACTAATGATCCAGTTTGGGGGCATACAGAACAATGTATGCTTACAGAACAACTTCTAAAACAGACAGAAGAAATCTCAATTATGACTTTGTCCTAACACAACTTTTTATTATGTTCATACATAATATGAACATAATAATTAGGTTTATTAGGTTCATACATGGCATAACATATTCAATTGTATATTTTCCCAAAAGCTTGCTACAATAAAGTTTTGTTTATAAACACAAATATGAAATAAGCTTTTTTTTTTTTCTCTCCCAGTACTGGGAATTAAACCCGGAGTGCTCTACCACTCAGCTACATTTCCAGCCTTTTATTATTATTATTATTATTATTATTATTATTATTTTGTTTTTAAGATGGGATCTTCCTAAATTTCTGAGGTTGGTCTTGTACTTGCAATTGTCTTGCCTTTGCCGCCTAGATCTCTGGGATTACAGGTGTGTGCCACCCACACCCTGCTGAAACAGACTTTTTTTTTTTTAAGGAATTATATAAAGGTCTATAAGGATTTCTACTACTCACAATGCAAGACAATTAAATCTAGAAGGCAACTCCCCAATGACAAGTAGAGGCAGAGCATACTGAGACATACCCACAAGCACTATGAGGCGGTGCTTGTCTGTTGGGCGTCGCTGGTACCTCACCACCTCCTCATAAGGGGCACCCACTGCATTGTAGCAGCTGCCAGCGCAGCATGCAGTGGCATGCAGCTGGCTGAGGTGGGACTTCCTTCGACAAAGGCGCATGCTGCGGCGGAAACCAGCTGGGGAGGATGGAAACACACAGAACATGAGCTGCAGGGCAGGAGCTTCAATTCTGATGAAGCACGTAATGTCTGTGATATCTATCTGAAGTTAGAAAATAAGAAAGAATGTGAAGGGAAAATACCCAAATGTCCCATGTGCTATCTAAGTTGCATCCAGCATCCATTATGTGCCAGGCATTTGCACTGGGTGCTGGAGCTGTGTGACCAACCAGCCCAAGCCCATCATCTCTTGAAACCTATGTTAATGGAGGAGGAGACACAAAAATAGATGATAACAACCAAAATAAATACTTGGAGAAAATGGTAAGTAGACAGAGTGACAGGGGTGCTTTTTCAGACAGTTCAAGAATCTGAAAAGTTGGCATTGAGCAGCTGTCTGGATGCAGAGATGGAGCCAGTTAAGGAAGCATCTAGGGAAAGAGCAATCCAGGCTGAAGCAACAGAAAATCAAAGGAGCAGAGAAAGGACTGCACTTGCAGCATTTGTGGAAGGCCAGGAAGCCTGGATAGCTGCAGGGCAGAGAGTAATTGGTAGTGTAGGAGGAAATGGGGTTGGAGAGGTAGCTGGAGGCAGATCACACAGCACGAGTTGGTGAAGTGTTGGAATGTGGTTCAAGTATAAGCCATTGGACAGTGGAGAGACAGTTTGTGACTGTATTTGATTTCTGTTTCTAAAGGATTCCTCTGATTGCTGTTGGCAGGATGCAAACTGTAGAGAGTGAGTCAGCCTCAGGGAGAGCAGTCAGGCAGCTACCACTCTAGTCCAGGTAAGAGATGATAGTGGCTTGGGCCAGGGTGGACAGGCTTCTCGTTCACATTTTTCAGGTGAATACACTAGGACTCAGATTAACTGGGTTGCTCAGGACTGTGTGATCAGTGGCAAAGTTGGACCTCTTCATCTTGATTTCCAAACTCCTAGAATCCTGCTTTGTCTGCCCATTGAATCAAAGAGCTTTCTGGTACTTTCAGAGCTGTTTCTGGCAGTACAACTAGAAACCACATATGTGTGTGTAATATATACACACGCTACTATTTGTATTTGTACCTATACATATTGAAAGTCATAAGATCATACCAATGCTTATGAAATGAGTTCAAACCACAGGATTCATTGCGGCCTTCCCCTTTATTTGCGACTCCCTTTTCTAACAGGAAGAACCCTGTCATTCTGATTCTCAATACATCTACTTATTACATCAGCTAAGAACACCTGTGTCAGATGGGACCAACAGTAGTGGCAGCCTGACAGAAAGTGTCAGCCCATGAGAGATGAGGTGGGCATCTTTGTAAAGGTTGTGGAGTGTTAGAGGCCAACAAATGACAACTGCCATCCTCATTTCCTCTGACACTGACCACCTGCATCAGGCCGCCCTCATCCCCTGCACAGATACCCTCCACCTTGCTCTACTCAGGCTCCTCATTCTCCATCTTCATGCTGCTTCCTACCCTGCTCTACCTTACCTAATGGCTTTGGGGCTGATAATTCTGGAAGTAGTAGAGAAAGGGGGCCCACTTATTTTTTTAAAGGTCCCCCCAATGATTTCAAAGTGCATCTAGGCTTGGGAGCCAACACTCTGGTTTACAGACTGCAGCTCTGTGGTTCTCTCCTATCTTGTGAAGAGGGAAGCCCAGAGTAGCTCTAAATGAGAGATACCTGGTCCCTTCAGAAAGCTCTGCCAGGTGACAAACATATAGAAATGTGGCCATAAAAGGAGAGTTTAGTAATTAGAGAAATGGTCTCTTTAGAAGGATAAATAGGTTGTGGAACAGACTTGGAGACAATGAAAAGAAGTATGTTTCATAAATAATTAGGAGATACCTAGTGGAAATTAAAAGACTAACAATGAATAATAGATCAGAGCACTGAGAAGAAAAAGTAGACAGATGGAAAACAGGCAAGGAACAATTTTGGAAATGTCCACCAGCAAAAGAAACTTTCAGCAGAACACCAGGCTGATATGAATACCACTTCAAAACAATTAAGACTCACCTCTTATTAATCATCACTTACCAATAAAGAACTTTTGACCAGAGCCAATAAATTCCTCCTTGTCTGGGACATGGAATGGCAAGAACAGAATATGAGGACAAAGAGAAGTTTACTTAGAACCAATGCATGAAATCATCTTCAGATTGTCAAGTGACGTCATTTTATTAGGTGACAGCACAGTTGACTTGATTCTTGAGTGGCTTTCTAAGATTGTTCTCAGCAATTTCCATCCTTTTTTTCTCACTCAATAAACTATAGAAAAACATTCTTCAGAACTTCCGTATTATACTGAAATATTTTTATAGTATGGTTAAAAACAAAAAAAAAAAATTAGGCTTGTTTAAAGATGTAAGAAAAGAGATGGAGCCATAGTAAAAACACAAAAGCTGGGTATTCGTTTTTGAACATATCCTAAGAAAACTGATTTTTAAAAAGAAAGAAACTGGCTTTTGTCTTTAACTTGCTGATACAGAGTTCTTACAGGTCCTATAATTAATCTCTTTGCTAAATATGAGCTTTTATTTTCCATCTTAATTAATATTCTATATAAAATTGGTCCTTGTTCTATGATGATCACTTGTTTTCTTATTGCCAAGAAGCTATAAGACTAAGTAAGGAAAATTGTGCCTGGGACCTGTAGCATATAGAACTAGTTCAGAAACCTGTTTCTGCTTCCTCTGAGTCCTTGGACAAACTTATAAACTCCATAAAAAAATGTTCTAAAAATGTCATTTCCAAATTATTTGTACTTAAATTTCTTGTCATCTATTCAACTCTGCTTTGCTCATTAAATAACATATAAAAAACATTTGTTCATAGGATGAACTGACATATACAGCCTTCTTTTTCTTAATCTTTATTTTTAAAAAATTTTTTAAATACACATTTTAAAATACAAAAAAGACATACCAATATTAGTTACATCTGCTGGTAAGTAAATTTTTCATCTCAATAAGTTTAAAAGACAATGTCTACTGAGAGATAGTTTAATAATGCTTAATTACTTCCATCATTTATATTTATTTACTTATTTGCAGTACTGGAAATCCCAGGGCCTTGTACATGTTAGGTAAGTGCTCTAATCATCATTCGTTTTAAAATGCAGTCTATGAAATTGAGTATTTTATCATTGATTTCACCTTTAACATATCAACACCTCATCCTAGAAGTTATCCTGTCGATTATTCACTTTGTGGCACACTGAAAGACTTTAAACAGAGCTCTGTCTAGTGTGCCCAGGAAATAAAAATGAACAATTACCTTCTGAAAGTTCCTCTGGGTATTTGGTCAAGTGCAGAAAGAGACGTGAAAAAGTTAAGCCAAGTTAGCCATCAAATACAGGCAAATGACAGCATTCATGTCACCATTAGTAAAAGTTTTAACTTGGGTAAGGCCTAGGACACTCATCTGACCTCACTCTACCCCTGAGGGACAACCATTTTTTCTGCAAGTTGCCTCTGAGACTCTCCATGAAGTCTTTTGATCCATGAAGACTCTGTGGGTTGGTACAAGATGAGACTTGAAAGAGACAACAACCCATTAAAGGCAATGGATTTGAGGCTTCTCTCTCCTCTCCCAGAGGCCATTTTGTGGCACCTTGTGAAAGGGAGGAAAAAAGGACATGAGGGTAGGGGTGGGACAGACGCTGCCCCAACCTCTGGTCTGATCATCATCATTCCTTAGCCCTTCCTTGGTCTAATGTACACACTTCCATCTCCAACTGACCCCTTGGAGACAGGGGAACTGAATATGAAGCAAACTGTTTTGTTGTCTAGACATCTTAAACAGCTGTACTTTCTTTTCTTTTTTAAATGGCCTTCTTAATTAAATGAGCCTCCCAAAGAAATTTAAGGAAGTCACATTATACCTCATGCAGAGATCAAAACTGAAGAACCTTAACTGCTACTAAGTGAGTGTCTAGGTAACAGGAGTAAGTACCATGAATGAATGCCAAGGGTTATCTACTTGGAAAATACACCAGTTGGGTGCTAATTGTTCCTTAATTGAGCTCCTACTAGAGCCAGTTCAGCATGTTCTTGAGAGTTCTCTTTCAACTGAGAGGCTTTCAAAGGAGTGCTTTACACTGCATGCTTTCCTCTGAAGGGCTGGTCTTAAAGAACCAGCCACAAACTGCCCTAAAGAACAAGATTTCATAATAACACCAAACTAACCCTCATGTAGCATTTACTAAGTGTGGAGGTGGTGGGGGGTGAGACACTATTCTAAGCACTTTACTTATGCAAATAATCTAATTATGGTTCCCATTGTGTGTGTGTATATATGTGTTACCAGGCCCTTGTGAACGCTAGGCAAGCACTCAGCCATTGAGCTACATCCCCTGCCCATTTTGGAGATGAGGAATCTAAAGGCAGAGGGGGTAAGCACCAGAAGGTTAGCCAGAGTTAATGAGTAATGGACCCAGGATTCATACTTGGACAATGTGACATGAGATCATGGTCTTACCTACAATGACACACTGGCTTAGCTTTCACAGACCCTGAAAATAACGCCCCTGAGCCTCAGCCACAGCCTTAGCTGGTGGAGTATTTTCCAGCAACACAATGAGTTGAGCAGAACAAAGAAGGATGGGTATAACTCAGAGGAATGAAAAACAAAACCAATCCCAAACACTGACCCAAGTATAAATAATTAAATTATCCCCAGTAGACCAACCATCTCATGAAATACAGGAAATTTTAGAAATAATATAAATGATAACTAGGCTAATTTAAGTGAGTGGTTCCAAACTCTACCTAATTCAATGCTTATCTTTTTTATAACTAATATTTGTAGCAATTTTTTTTGAAATATAATTCATCGGTGATATAATCTACCACACATGTAACTTTAAAAACCTATACAATGCTCTAACTATAATGTAAAGGAAAAACAAAAGGAAGTAATTTATATTTTAAAAGTATATATACCAAATATAAATTTATGGGCAACATCTCTAAAAGACATAGAAAACTAGTAGATGTTTATACCTACTTAAATGAAGAGGCATAGATTTAAAAGAATCAAGATCAAGAAAACATTCTTTATAGGAAGTGCAGAAGAATAGAAAAGGAAAGAAGTGGACACTAGAATCAAAAGTATTCTGCCAAGTAATAACAGACCAGATTGACTTGTATATGATAAGAAAGGGAAATTGCTTTAGTTGAAATAGGGATAATATACCAAAGCAATTGGAGACCAATGAAATAGAGAAAATGAGGAAATATAATATACTTGGAATCAGGTAAGTAATGTTAACAGGCCCCAATAGGTTGCCAGCTTTTATAAAACTCCCTGTGGGATATATTTTGCTACAAATGGGGTCAACATTATTTTGCTGGATAGACCCTTGATACTTACTAGGTGTCATCAATAATAACAAGTAATGTATTAAGGAAGAAGAAAATGGATTCAGTATAGATACCATACTTTCCAATTTATTTACTATCCATGTAGTGTAGACAGAAAGTTTGGAATAAAGGACTTTATAATTTCTAAGGCAATGTCATTATGTCTCTCTAGAGTGACCATCTTCTGAACCACTGGGCCCTTCATGTTGACTTGTGAAAACTTACTATCGTGTAGTAAAGAGCTTTTCCATTAGATTGGTAATGGGTTTTGCCTAACAGGAAGATTTGTGGGTCTTGAGTTGACCCTTCATTGTGCAGGACATTTAACATTCTTGATCCTACTAGGTAAAGGCTGGGAGGGACCCCAATCCATGTGGCAGCCAAAAAATGCTCCCACAGAGTTCCAAAATGCCCAATTGAGGGTAATATTGACTCTAGGAGAAGCACTAGTTAAGGTAAAACTTATATCTCACAACCACATTGTTGATTTTTAAAAAATAAAACTTGTATTTTTGAGATTTACAACATGTTAAAGAATATATACAGATAATAAAATGGTTACTACAGTGAAGCAAATTAACATGTTTATCATCTCATATGTTTATTTTTACTGTTATATCTAAACAATTATTATATCATATCTCTAAATATATGGCTAAATTATATTAAAATGTGGAATATATATTTAAATTCAGTACAAATTTTTCACTTACCAGATTCAAATGTTTCTTCATCTAAGGTTTTCCATGGAGGCAAAAAGCAAAATGGTTATTATATTACTATCTACACTGAGTCTATACTTTAATAATTTAATTGCCTGGCTAATGCTTTTGTGTCTATGCTACCTTTATCAAGGTCAAGACAGTGGTATCTCTAAATCATATACAGATGTCTTAAATGAGATACGTAATATTCACTAGTTGGACTGTAATGACAACCAGAGGTGTAGCCGGAACTTAAAATAAATAAATAAAATAAACAAAAGAGAATAAGTAAAACACAATTTTAAAAGAGGCTCAGAGAGAAGGGAAAAGTGAAATGTCACAGGAAAACCCTATGGATAGTTGTACACTGCACCACCTTGCTTCTGGAAGACTCGCATGTGTGGGAGGGAGGCCTTTGCCTGCAGAGCTGGGGGCTACAGGCAAGGAAAGGGAGAATGAGCACTTGAATGTCTTGACTGAGCAGGATCAGGTGACTGAGAAAGCATGAGAGAAACCAGCTTCTTCCTTCATTAAAACAATTCTTGTTAGCATTTTAAAAAGGGATTAAGGATTACAAAAGTAAAAATTTATATGGAGGACAATTTGAAAGATATAGTAATATTACCAGTGAATATATCCTTGGCTCAGGCAATGGTACGTCTTAAGTATACATGTGTGAATGACATATCTATAAAGCTATTCATTGTAACAATGCTTATAGTAGAAAATGGACACAACTCAAATATCTACAAATAAGCAATTTTTAAAAGATGATGAGATAGAATCATCTTTAAGATATATGAAGTTAACCAGGCACTTCAGTGCACACCTATAATCCCAGCTACTTAGAAGAATTATTTCAAGTTTGAAGCCAATCTGGGCAATTTAGCAAGACCTTGTCTTATAATTAAAAATTTTAAGGGGCTGGGGCCGTAGCTCAGTGGTAGAGCGCCTGCCTTGCATGTGTGAGGCCCTGGGTTCGATCCTCAGCACTACATAAAAATAAATAAATAAATATATTAAAAAAAAATTTTTTTAGAAGTACTGGGGATGCAGCTCAGTGGTAGAGTGCCCCGGGGTTCAATCCCCAGTACTGAAAGGGAAAAATAAATAAATAAATATATTTTTAAAAAAAATTTTTAGAAGTACTGGGGATGCAGCTCAGTGGTAGAGTGCCCGGGGTTCAATCCCCAGTACTGAAAGGGGAAAAAAAAAATGATATACAGTTAGAAGGCCAGGAACAGAACAGTGTATATATCATATCATCAAAGGATGTGTGCATTCATGTTTGGGGAGACAAGATTGAAGTGTAGAAGAAAAGGGATACTTAAGAAACTGATGACATTTATTGGCTCAAGAAAGAAACTGAGTAGGGGAATGGAAAGAGAAACTTATTACCGAGTACACTTTTGCAGTTCTTTTTTTAACTTTTGAATGATGTGAAAAGATTACTTAATAAAAATTTGATTAACTGCACAGAAAGGAATTGTATATTACCACAAGTTTAAAAACTGGAATGCATACTTGGTAAACTAACTGTAGCATGAGCATTATTTTGTAGTTGTTCTGGGAAATATATGTAAATCTCTGAAATAGTTCTTTCATTTCTAAAACCTAGATTAACCCATAAAGCGAAGACAAATTCATGTGTCAGGCAAAAGACTTTCAGAAAAACCCTAGTGATTTTTGAACCAACCTTAGTACCACCCACTAAATTTGAAAAAAAAAAATTCCAAATTTTTTAGAAAACCTGAAATATAGAAATGTAAAAGCTTTCATACATTTCTCAAAATTCTGGAAGCCATTACTACCTATCTATACCAGAATTTACCAGAAGATGGGGCATCAAACTTAATGACAAAAAGATGTGTTTTGCTTTCTACACATTTGGTATCACAGATTTTATGCTGTTCCGCAAAAACACAGGGAGGAGGAGGAGGGTTCCAAGTGTTCCACTGTCTGGTAAGCTGATTGTTAGCACGTGTTCCTGAGGTCATTTCCAAGATGCAGCTTTCTAGAACACTTTCCAGAAGTTTAGTGGGGACCTAGAGACATCCCCAAACTGTGTTTTTCCTTCTATGTGCAGAGCCACAAAAACAGGGGTGGGGTCATTTTACATGTCAATTCTAGAGGAAGGATCTATGGCCTCTTCTACCACCTCTGCTCCAGATAATCTATAGCTGAAGTGCTTCATGTTCCTTCTGGGGGTGAATCAATCAAGAGGAAATGTTACCTGCTTCCACACATTTCTCATCAATCCTCATGTCATCTTCTATAAAAAGAGCATAGAAAGGAAAGAGAATTAATAATATGTCAGCATTAAAAACAGCGTTCCACATGTAGAGGCTGTGTCAACAAAACTGAGACCACCTTACAATGTTGTTTGTGGAACTATCACTTATTTGGTGAGATAAAATGGACTCTACTGTATTAGATGAAAATGTGTAACGTAGAAGGCAAAATACATAAAATGTTATATTGGAGCATTGGATTGTCAATGCTGAGAAAATCAGTTATCTCAAAGCCATAAATGGGGGAAATAATACCATACAGAATAAGATTCATTGAGACAGTTCATGAAAATGTCAGGTACATGGTAAGTGCTCAATAAATGGTAGCTGATTTTACCTTTAGCTAACGCATATATAAGAGAATTAAAGAATGAAACTTAAAAACCACTTATTGGATGAGATAGACATCATTACCCTAGGTACATGTATGACTGCATATATGGTGCGATGCTATTTCGTGTACAACCAGAGAAATGAAAAGTTGTGCTGCAATTGTGTACAATGAATCAAAATGCATTCTGCTGTTGCATTACCTAATTAAAATTAATTATTTTTAAAAACACTTATCCTAACACTCAAAAGCCTTCATCATGTGACCCCAGTTAGAAGGTCCATATCTCCCCTTACATCTCTTATATCACTGTTAGAGCTCACCACATGGGTCTTTCTGTTGTGCCTTAGTGTATGTTGTTTTTTCCCTGTGCCTATGACACATCAAGGCCCACCTCAAACAATGATTAAAATAAATACCCTTCTCTAAACCTCCACAGCATGTTCTTCCAACTACCTTGAACTTGGACTACTATATATCTCTTCTTTTGTAATGTAACCATTTGACTGTTTGTTTTAACTTATTCTCCTAGAATGTTCCCTGAAAGCAGGCACTATCTAGTTTTCACATACTCTACAGAGCTCAGAACAATGCCTTGCACATAGTAGCTATAAGATTAATTATTCATTAATTTGAATTTACTTTTGAAGATTAAAATAGTTGATTTGAAAATGCCTCCTGAGAATTTTTTTTTTCTTTCAGCATTGTATATCTTGTGCCTAGCATAGTGCCCAGCACTTCCCAGATGCTCAAAACAAATAGTGGCTTAATAAATGAGTCTTATACATGTCACCAAAATTCAAAGTCTAAGCAACAATCTATAATATTATAAAGTAACACTTATCACCACTGCCTTAAAAACTATATCATTCATTATTGTTTTTAAATAAAATATGAAACATGATAAATTTTAAGAAGTAATATTCTCATGGAGACTAGCACAGATAAACAAGTGATACAGCTGAGATATTTAGCCCAGGTACATGGTAAGTGCTCAATAAATGGTAGCTGATTTTACCTTTAGCTGACACATATATAAGAGAATTAAAGAATGAAACTTAAAAACAACTTATGGGATGAGATAGACATCATTACCCTAGGTACATGTATGACTGCATCTTATCATTCAGATAAGATGGAAGCTTTTATTCATTTAGAGATTACTTTCCAGATTAGCCATTTATATTAACAGGTCAGAGCTAAAGTGTTTTTTTGAAAGCAAATAAAAACTACAATTGTCATTTCTATTTTACAACATAGGTACAGAAACCAGAAATGATTCTCCAATGATCACACAAGGACCCCTGAGGCTCTTCTGACATGTGACTCTGGAATCTAGGATAGGGGAACTGCTTTTATTCTCCCAAATCAGCCTTAGTGTATGATTTACTTACTAGCTAGGGTGGGTGCTACAGAATGAATTAGTTCCCACTGTGTTCATAGGTTGAAGCACCAGCCCTCAACATGATTGTATTTAGAGATAGGGTCTTTTAGAGATAATTAAGGTAAAATGAAGTCCTTGGGATGGAGCCTAATGCCAAAAGGACTTAGAAGCAGATGAAGAGACAATAGATATCTATCTTCCCAAGTATGTACTTAAGAAAGGCCACATGAATACACAGTAACCAGGTGGCTGTCTACAAGCCAGGAAGAGAGGCCACAACAAAACCAACTTGATCTTGAACTTCCAGCTTCCTGAACTGGAAAATAAATGTCTGTGTATCTCATTAGGCGGCCCACTCTAAGATAGCCCACCCACTGAGTCCAACCCCTCCCCAAGTGCCAGAGCCAGACTGCCCTTCACAGCGCTGCAGTTGACGTGGCCTTGGATACACAAACCTAAGCGAACCCTGGACTTGGCTCTCTTCCACCTCCTCTGGTTCCCTGCCTGTGTCATATATAACTCCTGTCCTTGGAGGACCCAGGCTGGAGCCTATGCTGAGAGATAATTCTCAAAAAGTCCCTCTCAGGAGTTCTCAGGTCTCTTGTTTGTGCATGTACATGTGCATTTGTGGTGTCATAGTGCATTATCTGGATGGTTGGACATGGACAAGGGGAAGAGGTAGTCACTGAAGGTTCTACTTGCCCCTGATACAGGGCCATTCAGATAAGATGGAAGCTACATTGTTTGCAACTTCTGACAAACGTTATTGGGGTTTTTCTGAACCTCAATCTTTTCATCCATAAGATGGGGAAAATAATTGCAATCTCCTTGCAGTGTTTTTTTTTTCTTTTTTTCTTTCCCCTTTTTTAATTTGTACATTATAGTTGTACACAATGATGAGATTTTTTTGCTACACATTCATACATACAAGATAACAATATAATTTGGCCACTATCACTCCCCAGCACTTCCCCCCGATCCTTCCCTCCTCTCACCACCTGGTCCCTTTAATCTACTGCTCGTCTTTGATTTTCATGAGATCCATACCCCCCTTTCTTTTCCTTTTGCCTCTATAACTCCCACATATGACAAAAAACACACAACCTTTGACCTTCTGAGTTTAGTTTATTTTGCTTAACATACTGGTCTCAAGTTCCATCTATTTTCCTGCAAATGACATAATTTCATTTTTCTTTATGGCTGAATAAAACTCTATTTTGTATATATTCCACATTTTCTTTATCCATTCATCTGTTGATGGACACCTAGGCTGATTCCATAGTTTGGCTATTGTGAATTGCGCTGCTATAAACATGGGTAGCATGTATCACTATAATAAGATGACTTTAATTCTGTAGGGTAAATACCAAGAAGTGGTATTGCTTGGTCATATGGTGGTTCCTTGCCTAGTCTTTTGAGGCACTTCCATACTGATTTCCACAGGGGTTGTACTAATTTACAGTCCCACCAACAGTGTGAAAGTGTCCCCTTTTCTCTACATCCTCTCTACCATTTCTTATAGTTTGCATTTTTTTTTAAAACTTCAGAATTTATTTAAACAGGAAACCTGTAGATTTAAACAAGAGGGGGAATGGAAGGTAAAAAATAGCATCTCCAGGAAAACAGCCCAAACCTGTTGTGCCCTCCCAAATAGTAAAACAAGTATAAGGAGCCCAAAGACCATATGCCTACCCGATGAGGCTCTGCACACACTTTAGACTACCAAACTCTAAGCTTCATTGTACAAACCACACTTGAAATGTGTATCAAAATCACCAGCCCAGCCAAAACAGCTTTTCAAAGCTGAAAGCTCAAAGCCCAAGTTTAGATACCATCACAGTGTGGAATGTCTGCAACCTTGTGTCCCTGTGGGAGGAATAGCAGCATCCACCAAGTGGTGCCTCTGAACTTGGGCCACTGACCATAGAAACCACCCCAGGAAGGCTATGATAGGTTCTGAGTGACAGCAAAAAGGTACATGTCTCTGTTCAAGCTGTTCATTCCTGGGTGGTTGTAAGTGTTCTTTTCTACTTACCTAGTCAAGATAATCAACTGAATTTATCAATGTTCTGGGATGAAAATGGAAGAGCACTTATTACAGAACTTTTGTTTTCATGTTTGATAATTTAAAAACTCACTGGATTTTATAAAAATTTCTTCCAACAGATTACTGAATCTACAAAACACTGAGAATTTCACCAAGAAGGACTGCACATAAACCACAAATGCAACTCATGGACAAGAGCTGCTCTTATTGCGAGTGGCCAATAACACTGTTTTAGGTCATGAAATTAATATCTCATGATAAATATGCTGAGTGAAGACGGCATAGTTTGGGGCACAATTGCACATTCAGATGAAGCACTGCTGATCAGGGCACACCGGAGCTGGGAGCATCCAGAGGTCCTTTATGACTTCTCCTCCTCATCTTTAATTTCAGAAATTCTGTCTATCGCTTTCAGGATTTCAGCAACAAAATTCAACGTTTCAGCTCCAGAAACCAGCTGCTTTATGGAGGCATGTGCACCATTCATGACAACACGGAGATTCTGTAAGGCCATGTCAGTGTTCTGCTTTACCACCGTCAGGCTGGCACCCTGGCCCGACCTCAGGGCATCATTCTCTCGCTTGAAGTTGGAGACCTGTGCCTGGAGCAAGTTTATTTCCTGTTTCAGCATTATGACGTGATTTTCTGCCTTTACAGCTCGTTTCATCATCAGCTCCAGGTTCTGCTCCACCTGCTGGACCACTGACTCCAGGTCATGGTAGTCACTCACCTCCTTGATCCTCTTTGCCTCTAGCTCCTGCTCAAGCGTCCTTATCATTTCTGTTTGAGTTTCGGAGAAGCTCTGAACCTCATTCAGCTTTCTTCTTAGCTTAGAATTTTCATCTTTCAGGGTTTCATAACTTATCTGCAGCGTGCGCAGGTGTCTGTCACCCAGAGACTCCCCAAGAGTTGTAAACTCTGCACCAGGACTCGCCGCACAGGGTGCTGTGCCAGCCAAGGCCCTGCAGGAGAGCGTCTTCTCCACGGCAGATGGCAAATAGGCCCCATTCCACCGCCTGTTTTCGTCTTTCGCCTCCTCATCCAGGATGTTGCCAGTCCCTGTGGGGCCTTCAAAAAATGGCTGCTGATATTCCAGGCCGTACGCCACAGCCGGGTGGGTGGGACCGCTGTGGTCCAGTCCCAATGAGTGCCTCGAGGCTTCCTTTGGATAAATTCTGCTGTTGGTCATGTCCTCTTTCGTTAGACCAAGGTTCTTGGTTTTCAGAAACTCTTTAAAGGAGAATGGATTTGCCTCTTCAAGGTCTTCCAGCAGTTTGTCATTATGGGGAACAACGAGGCTCCGGCCCGGGACATCGGTGCGGCACCCAGGCGGCGCGCGTAGCCCGACATCATGGCAGTGGTGTGGCCGGGCCTCGGCCTCACAGCCGGCCACCGCGTCGCAGCCACGGCTCTCATCCTCTGGCCACTGCTTCCCATAGTTTGCATTCTTGATAACTGCCATTCTGACGGTGTGCGATGAAATCTCAGTAGAGGGTTTTGTTTGTTTGTTAAATATTTTTTACTTGTAGTTGGACACAATACCTTTATTTTATTTATTTTTATTCGGTGCTGAGGATCGAGCACAGAGTCTCACACGTGCCAGGTGAGCGCTCTACTGCTCAGCCCCAGCCCCCCGCACCACCAGTATAGTTATAGTTTCTATTTGCATTTACCTAATTACTAATGGTATTGAACATTTTTCATCTATTTTTGGCCATTTGTATTTCTTCTTTTGAGAAGTGTCTGTTTAATTCATCTGCCCATTTATTAACTGGGTTACTTGGTTTTTTGTTAAGTTTTTTTAGAGTTCTTTATATATTCTAGATATTCATCCTCTGTCAGAAGAGTAGCTAGTAGTGATATTCTCCCATTCCCTGCAGTGTCTTTTTTATAAAATACATCAAAAGCAGTTGAAACAAGATATCTGATCAGTTTCACAACTCATTGGGTTCTTATCATGCGCTGTGTTAGACTCAGAGTTGTGTATAAATGTTACTTTTCTTTCCTTGATTCTTCTCAGTGTTAGGATAGTTATGCTTTGTATACTAGCACACTAATGGGTACATAGGAAGCTTAAAAAAATACCTGAACTGAATTGAAATGAATTTTTAAAACTAGAAGAAATTTCTGGAGACTTTGAATATAAGATCCTCCTGCCCTGAATGTTATTTCTTACCTTCTTCCATAGAAATCACTGGTATGTTCAAATGATGAAAGCAGGGGGAGAAAAAAGGAACACAATGGTTTATGCTCTCATTTCTCAGATTAATTTACATTAAGAAAAGCAAAGTGCCAATATTATTGTAATTGATCTTCGAGAAACTTAGTGGAAATTCAATAACAAATGATAAATGACTACTCCCAAAATATATTTGGGAGAAGCTCCCTGCTTCTGGCAACTCCCATCATCTTTCAACCCAATTATCTGTATGAGAATCACACAGTTGATTCATTTCTGAATTAATGCTCTTACACTTCAGTGTATTTAAGGAACTAAAATCTTGAATGGAAGGAAGGAATAAAGGAAGGAAAAAAAAGTAGCCGGGAAGGAAGGAGAGAAGGAAGGAGGGAGTAGGAAGGGAGGGAAAGAAAGGCAGATGACAACAAACACTTTTCAGTATAACAATAATCTGTGAACTACCATAGGCTAGGAATTTTTCAAAACCCCTGAGTCAATTGACTATACCTATTCAATTAGTAGCTTGTTCCTGAGATCCACCTCCCCCAGCACCCCCACCATGGGAAGATTTAAGCAGAACTTAAAAGATGTAAAATAATATTTATTATAGTATCATCTACAACAGTTAAAAAGAAATGATCTAGTAGTTTCAAAAGTGATCATGCTCCATCAGAAACATACCCTGTGAGAGATGTCTCTTTAAGTTAGTGGCTCCAGACCTAGTTTCTGTACTCAGGAATGTGTGAATATACTAAGAGGCTGATGTAAACTACTTTCAGTATAATTAAAAGTCTACTATAAATCACACTTAGGCTACAGGAGCAAATGACATGCCAATCCATCGTACAAGTTATCAGATACTGTCTGGAAAGTCTAATTAACATCTCCCTGTGCCTTTGGTGATTGAAATAGGTAAGTGAATAAAGAATTTTTTCAATCTAGATTGGTTTAAGAGGGGGAACAAAGGTTTTTCAGGGACTGGGGATGTAGCTTACTGGCAGAGCACTTGCCTGGCATGTGTGGGGCCTGAATTTGATCCCTAACACTGCCCTCTGTCAGGTGCAGCTGGCCTCTGTCCTGGTCCTAAGAATGGCCTCCCACTCTCATGGCCCCTTTATTAAGACCATAAGTAGTTCCCAAGCATTTGCCACCATGGATCCCTTCACTAATCACTCCCCTATTATTTGAATAATATTGTCTAACAATCAAATTGCATTTGTTAGGAATAATTTGGCCTCCTATTTAGTCATCTAAAGAACATGTGACCATCAACCAAGGAGATTATTTGAGCAGTGGAGACATTTAGAGGTCCTCTCTTGGGCAGGAAGCCCACCCTGGACAGAGGGAGCAGGTTTCCCTGTGCACCTGTTGTGTCTGAGGTGGTTTCACTCACATGCGGTTGATTTGAGACAGGTGTGAGGCTGGTACGGCTGAGACCACCAGAATTCCCGTTGCTTCCTATGCAAAAAATGAAAGCAGAGACTTGCTGAGTCAGGTAGTGTCCGTTTCCTCACCCTGGCTAATGACTGCACTGGACATGGATGTGAGCAGAGATGCCACAGTGGGCTCTTGTTGGGGACTCCAGCATGCCACTGTGCATGGCCCCTTCCACTGCACCTGGAGTGCAGTGTGTCCTTGTCCTCAAAGCCATTTCCATATTCATCTCCCTTTTCCTTAAGAGCCCCCACTTTGAACATCATCCCCGATCACTCCTGGATGCTCCCATGCTCTTCATACTACTCAGTCATAATTCTTGATGGTTTTATTAAACATATAAATGCCCTTCTAATACCCTGGCTTTTCGGGTTCTTGATCTGGTTTTTGCCAATGACCTTCCCTCCTCCTCCCTCAGCCTCTGCCCTCCCACTGTCATAAACTAGACCTGTTCAGTACCAATAGCTAATCTCTCCATAATTTCAATTTCTGGCATCCCTTTACCTAACAACATTTCCCATCTTTGAAACTCCAATTATCTGTTGACCCTATAGGGACCTAAAATCTATTAATCTTATTTCCTTCTTATGGATCCTCATCTGCTTAATTTCCTCATCTTCCTCCTTAACACTTTAAATGCCATGACCCATCACTTCTCTTAAGTCCTTTTTGGATTTGCAGTTAAATCTAACCCTCTGTCTAATCTGGACCTGCAGCCAAAAAGCTGACCAGAAGCACTTCAGGTTTATGACCTTTAACCTTCAGTAGATCCTTAATGCCAATCATACTATATTGACCTAGTTCATTTTCTCTCCTTCTCAACACCTCCTTACCCACCTTATTCTCAGCTTATGACACTGCTTCTCATTTCACACACTCCCACCACTCCCAACCATCCCCTTCTTTCCTGTGACTAGCCCTGTGGATGAACTGTCTCTGCTCCTACAACAGGAAAACCCCACTTCTTGTACACTAGAGTGTAACTCCTTCTGCCTGTTCAAGGACCTCAGTAACAGCAATACTTTCTCCTGAGACTTAAAAAATTCCCCTCTCACTGTATTATTCCCACTAATATTATTCATCTCATCTAAAAATTCTCTCACATCACTCCACTTTCCTTTTTAGATATTTCTCCATTCCTCTACTCTGCTTTATATCCAAATGTCCCAAAACGTTTTCCATGCTTATTGTCATCCGTTTCTTTAAATACCTTTCTAACAAGGATTTTTGCTCCATCCATCCACCAAAATTGCTGTATCAAGATCATCCATGACCTCCACATTGCCAAATTTAATGGTCAATTCTCAGATCTCTCTACCACAATTGACAGATATAGCTAATCAGGACACAGTATGGTCAGGATTTTCACCCTGCCTCAGTGGTTACCCCTTCTCAATCTCGTTTGCTTGTTCCTTTTCTTCTTCTTGATCTTTAACACTGGCTGAGCCTTGGACCTCATCTTTCTATATTCACTCACTCCCTAAGTGATTTCATCAAATCTTACAGTGATGGATTGAGATTCAGTAGCTGAGGGCTCAGCTCAGCCTTGAAAGATTAATACTTTTTATCTTAGTTAAGGCTTCTTTAATGAAATACCATAAACTGGATAGTTTACAAACAATAGAAATTTATTTTATCACAGTTCTGGAGTCTGGGAGGTCTGTTTTTCAAGCTACCAGCAGATGTGGTTATCTAGTGAGGGCATCTTTGAGCTGTCCCTTACTTGGCAGAAGGGGTAAACAATCCTCTTCCCTTGGTTCTTTATAAGGACAGTAATCCCATTCATAAGAGGTTGACCTTCATGACCCAGTCATCTTCTAAAAGTCCCACTTCTTCATATTATTGCCTTGGGGATTCAGTTTCAATACATGAATGGAGATGGGGGCAAAAATATTCAGACCATAGCACTTCTTAAGTTTAATTTAGTTTCACAAACACTTTTCTCTCTTTTTCATCTGATTATTCTGGTCCCTTTAATATTTACAATGCTTAGAGCACATCAATAAATTGGCATTTGGATTTATAAGCCAAGTGTGTGTTTGTCCACTGCTTGATTCTCTTTATTTCATGGTAACTTCACTAACATAAACTTGCTATCCCAGACCTTTCCTGAGGGCCCAGTCCTGAATACAGGAGAATGACCTTACCTCTTCAGAAGGTGGTTAGAAGGGATTAGCCCAGCACAGGTAGAAAGGTCTGAGATTCTCCGGGCCTGCCACCAGAGGGCGTCATTCTGGTCCACAATTTGAAGGATGTCTCCCTTCTGGAAAGGCAATCCAGCATCCATGCAGGGGATGGAAGGATCCTCCTGTGGCCAGTAATCGGTCATGGCACGAACGTAAATCTGATGGCAAGTGCATAATTGTGTCATGAGAAGAGCCTTTGTCCTTGGGCTGGTAAGACTTAAAATCATTGCTGCCTTTCTTCCATGAACTGGTCATATCTTTCCTCTCCACTCTCTCCAAAAAAGAGAATTTGCTTCCTGAACTAAGTACCATGAAAAAAAAAAAAAAAAAAAAAAGCGTCTGGGGTAATAGCTCTGAAATGTTTATGTTCAATTTTTCAGAATTTTCAATGTCACTTCATGACTTTGTGGCACCCCATCTCCCTTTATTGTGCTCTTTTACTCATTTTCCTCTTCGTTCATCAGTACTGAAAAATATCCAGCACAGTATCGAACACATGTCAAAACAGCATAGAGGACAGGGACATGATACATCATGTTGGATCAGTGTCATTATTTTGAGACTCACTATGTGCAAAATTAAAGGTTCAGTCAGCTCTTACCATCTTCTGACTATTCACAGGAGGATCAGAAACCGGAACCACCTTGAACATGATTGTGCTGCGAGACATGGCCTAGGAAATGACATGGAGGAGAAGTCACGGAGTCAGCAAGGTTGCTGGGGTTTGGCAGATGCAGTCACAGCTGAATATGTCTAGGACTAATGGTGACATCCCCCACAGTAACTTTCACAGAGCTCAGCATCTGTTCCCACCCAGGAATGGAAAGAAATTAGGAATCAGAGTTGTTCTGTGTCTGCCCTGCTGCAGGGCTCTAGAGTCACAGGTTGCTAAAATCCACACCCTCTTCCAGGGCCCCTCCATCTTACTGCTGACAGAAACACCCTACTCTGTAAGGTTTCCTTCTCACAGGCCCTGTCTGACTTTCTGTCCTCATGTCTGTGATTTACAATACTTCAAACTCTCTTTGCAGCACCTTACATGCCGCACAGAATGTTGAGGCCATGTCCTTTTCATATCTTTCCTCCTCTCAGTCTCTAAGCCATCACTGTGAAAGGCTCAAGTTCTCCCAGGCACCCAATTTGAGAATCATTTGTCTATATAATATATAATGACAAATCGCAGGCCCCAAAGCTGGGGTATGCATTGGGGAGATTGATGGAGCTATGCTGCTTTGGCTAGTTAATACTGGACTGTAATTCAGGGAATGGGCTAAGAGGTGGGAATGGAAACAAGAGAGACCAAAGTCTCATAGAATCAGACTATGAATCCTCAACTTCAAACACCAAGGAAGAGGGGTGGGGCCACACAAGGATGTCCTCCTCCCTATCTTCTGTCCCATGGTGACTTCTTTCTCCCCTCAAAGCTGCCCTGGAGAAAGAGGTTAAGCAGGTTTCAGCTGCATAAATGTGTTAGGAGAGGGATGGGGGTTGCAGCTCAGTGGTAGAGTGCTTGTCTATCCTGTGCAAGTCCCTGGGTTCAATCCGCAGCATTGAAAAAAAAGCGGGGATGGGAGGAGCAAGCAGTGGTTTGCTTAGGCTCAAACTCTCCTCCAAAGCTTCACTTTGCCCACCCGCGCTCAGTTTCCAATGGAGAAACAGGTGACAAGAAACCTGAACTGGGGACCTGATCATCCCCTAAGGAGCAGCTTAGGTAGGAACATTTCCCAGCCAGGGTCAGAATTTCTGGGGGGTAAAGGAGGAAGGTCAATGAACTACATGGCAACAGGTAAGATCTGCGGCCTGGAGACTGGAGGCCGCGGAGAGGAACCCAAGTCCCCACATTACAATGCACACACCACAGGCTCGATGGGCCCAGTGCCTCAGCTCTTCACTAAGTCATGAACAAAAAGACAAAGAGAAGACAGTTACCAGAATATGGATCACTTGCTCCGGGTCCAGTCCCTCAACTGAGACTCCGTTCACTTCCACCAGTTTGTCTCCGGCATATAACAACCCTAGGCAAACAGAAACAAAGAAAACGTACCAAAAAAAGGAAAAAATGAGGTCACTATTTCTAAAGCTAAAAGCAAACTCACTAGCCCAAGCATCCTCTAAACATTCTAAATAAACCGTTTATTCCAACCTATACCACCACAGAGATCTGTGAGCATGCCATCCACCTCTTTTCCAATTATTTTTCTTTCTGCTAATCTGATATAAAATGGAAGGAGAACATTGTAAGAAGTAGCACTAAAATTAAAGATGTTGGGGTCGTGAATAAATGATAAAAGGAAGAGGTGTGTGTTTGAGGGTATTTTCAGAAGAGAAAATGTGGAGAAATTTGGGGGGGTTCAAGATTATACCTTACCCCTAGAGGTTAGGAAGGACAGGGGAGAGCAGATACAGACGAAGGTTAGACAACAGGTACCCAAACATAGCTACGTAGAGGGAAGCAGCTCCAATGTTCTACAGCACAGTAGGGTGATGATATTTCACAATTTATTGTACATTTTATAAAAGACTAGAAAAGAGGAGTTCAAAGTTTTCCAATACAAAGAAATGATAAACCTTTAAGAAGATGGAAATGTGAATTACCCCAATCTGATCAATACACATGTGTACATGAATTGAGTTATCACACTGTACCTTCTTAATATAGTTATTATGTATTAATTTTTTTTAAAGGAGGGGTAGGGTTATGGCTTGGTGGTAGAATGCTAGCCTAACACATGTGAGGCACTGGGTTCAAACTTCAGCACCACATTAAAAAAAAATGAAATAAAGATATTGTGTGTCCACCTACAACTAAAAAATAAATACTTTTTTCTTAAAAAAAAGGAGCCAGGCATGGTTGCACATGGCTGTAATCCCAGCATCTTGGGAGGCTAAGGCAGGATGATCGAAGGTTCAAGGCCAGCCTCAGCAACTTAGTAAGGCCCTAAGCAACTTAGTGAGTCCTTGTCTCAGGATGAAAAATAAAAAGGGCTGGGGTTGTGGCTCAGTGGTTAAGCATCCCTGGGTTCAATCCCCAGTACAAAAAAAGAAAAAAGGATTAAACCTTGAGAAATATGAGGTAAAATGGAAGTAAAATGGAGGAGAAGCTGTGAGGGAAATGAGCAAAAAGCAGAATGACCTCACAGAAAAGACACCAAGGTAACAAGATGTCAAGAAAGGTGTCCATAGCAAATGTGATGCAGCAGGAAAAACAAGCCTGAGGATGAAAAGGGGGTCCCAAGGGACTTAGCAACTGGGAACTCCTAAGTATTTGCCAGAAGGATGTTGGGGTGTGAACCACATGGGAACCCTGGGGCCAGAACCTGAGGCAGCCGGTGAAGAGACACTCATATCAGAAGCACATTAGTGAAAGGAGGAAAATGTGCTTAACTGGTAGAAAGAGCAAACCAAAGGCATTTCAAGATGGAAAAGAGCTACTACGTCTTTTTGAAAGCAGAAGGGTCAAAAAGTGGGGACTATGAACTCAGGTACTCGAATCCTGACTCAAACTGTATAACCTTGATCAAGCTAGTGACTTCATCTCTGTGACCCTCTGTCTCTTCTTCTATAAAATGGCATGGTAATGTTAGGCTACCATGAGAATGTAAAGTGAGAGAGCTTTTATATGGTGCCTAGAATGGGAGGGACTCTGTGAAGAAGGGAAGCGAGACTTCCCTGGACTATCTATCTGATCTTTCTTTCTTTGTTACTCTCATGAAACCATGGAAATTACAAAAGGAGAGAGGGTTCCTTGGAAAAGAGACCATACAATCAAGGCTTTTGAGTAGTTCCAGTCACACTAGAACCCTGATGCTCTTGCTTACCACTCCTCTCCACCAGCCCGCCATGGATGACCCTGGCCACCAGGATGTCTCCTGTCATCTCGTGGCGCTTGATTGTAGCTCCCTAGAGAGAAAATAAAACGGGGTCCCTCTTTTACCTCACATGGCCACTTTCCTGGTGGCTTCCTTCAATCAATGCAGCTCTGGCCTTTCAGACAAGGGTATGTATACCAACCAGTGAGAGAGGGGCCACACAGTGTCCTGTAGCCTGCCAGTGACACCAGGCTATCAGCAAAGGACAGACCATTCGACCTTGGCCCCGTGACGTCGCCTTACAATCGTACAAATATAAAAGAATATTTAGATCCTTCCAAAGATAAAGAAAGTTCCCATAATAACAACCCAAATGCAAAGACTGCTCCTAGAACATCAAATTAATGCCTTACTTGGTTTCCCATTAATAAAGGATAAAATTTAGGCAAGTGCATTGGAACTGAGTGAAATATAAGCACATCAGAAAACCAAACAATAAAATAAAAAATATATATTTCTGATTTCTCACAAAATAAGTCTTGTAAGACTTGTCTTACTTTTCTAAAAGGAAAAAATGCTAAGCAGAAATCATTCCATAACAAACACTTTATAACATGTCATGTGTTTAAAATCACAGACAAAAATCAGACAGCTCACTGTACCATCACTGTCACCTGTGTATGACCCAGAGTGAGGTTGTATTGCCCAAAATAACTCTGGAATAATCCTTAAGGAAAAGATGTCATGACTTCCTTACCAGGGGCTGCTGGTTTTTTACCAAGCAAACAATCCTCATGGCTTCCTCGCTCTCAGGGATATTGTCAGGCAGTGGGGGAAGAAGGGGCTCAAAATCTTTCTGAGCTACCGTGTCATGGGCACTGAGCAAGGCCTGGGAACAGGGAAGAAAAAGTGAACAAATGTCACTCATGGGTCACGAGCATCTAGAAGATGATGACTGCACACCACACGAGACGTACACCAACACACACGTGCCAGGCATAGTTCTAAGCAATGTCAGTCTTCATGGTAACCCTGTGAGGCAGGATCACTTACTGCCTTCTATTTAAAGATAAGGAAACAAGCCACAGAGGGGTTAAGCAATGTTGAATATTCCCCCATTTTTGCTAAAATGTGTTATTCCATAATATTCTGATTTCTGGGAAGCCCAAGTAATCCAAAGTGCTCCTATGAAGTTTTGGCCTACAAAACAATTTCTATAATATTTTGTATAATGAAGGCAGAATGAAGACAGTAATCAAAACATCTAGCTAGTTCAACTTATCAGTAACACCCAAGGGCCCATGTGGAACAGAATAGGAAAATTAGTTCTTGTTTTATGGTGTGATGAGAGTTCCTTCTAATGGCCATTCAAACTTTCAACTGACCAGGTGGGGAGGCTATTGTCATTCTTCAGCCTGCCTGACACTGGACATGCTGTAGTTAGAACTCAAAGGAAAGTTGTCCATATAGGCTGTGGTGTTGAAGATATGTGATAACCAGTTATCTTGTGAACCCTGAATTCCATGACTCCAAATTCAGTCCTTCTCTTAAAGTTCCAATGTATTGATAAAATGATCTCAAAATCCATAAATCCTAAGAGAAGATTTCTTTTATGCAATCAAATGTTCTTCATATAGCAACTCACAGGGGTTAACCATCATAACACTGTATATTCCAAATACCTTCACACACTATATCCAAAATTTAAATTATTTTCAAGTTGGGAAGAAAGTGGGGATGTTAGCTAGAAGCTCCCCTGATTTCCCCTTAGAATTTTCCAGGGATGATTGTTTTGTAGGGGAAACAAGACACCATGGAAAATTCTGGAAGCCTCGTCATAAATACAACAGGCCTGGCTCCATGATTGACAATACTGAATCCCACATCTTCAAATATAATCTGTTGGTCGCTCATATACAGTAACAGAACATCCATTCAGAGAGCACGTTTTCTACTCCATGTACTCATTCTTTCCAGCTTTGTCTGTGTGCCAGTTGTCATACCTTATCTATTTTAGCAAGTACTTGCCTTATAGTGTGGAGCCTGGAGGAGCTTTCTCAGCTCCTGGACCTCAGGAGAATTAGGGATATCTCGTAACAGCTCCATTACCTGGCTCATGGAAAAGCACAAGTTATAAATTCTTAAAAACTTTCACCATCTAGTCAATTCCACCCAGTAGATAATAGCTACACTGACTAACATGAAATTGACCTAAGAAAAGCTGTTATTAGAGCCTCCTTTTTCATCTTTAAAATCAGGGCCTAGCAGCCCTTCCTTAGTCATTAAACTTCACTAGAGCAGGTAATTCAAAATTGGAGGTGGATCTAAACCCCAATCCCAGGCCTGGTACATTATAGCACTGGAGGAAGAACATATGGATTTTCTAATAGCACGTGGACCAAGACAAGAGCCCTCTAGTGGTTCTAAAGTCACTGTTTGCCAATGTCAATGCTTCAAGGGCAGATGAAGCTGCATTTAGGGTGAACAGAAGAACTTGGGAAGTTCAACCCAATGGGTTCTCCACTCTTCAAACAGAAAATGGGAATAATAATTTTTATTTCAGGGTAAATTATTTGATTAGTAATTTTCATGTTTGTTGTAATATAAAAATGCTAAACAAAATTGACTCTGATACCTTGCTGCAGTTTAAATGCAGAACTGCTTTTAGAGGACACAAGCTCTTTCAAGACTTTAGTCAGCCCCATGAATCTTTGGCAGTTCAGACATTGTACATACAGACAAATGAAAACAAGCGGCTTACAAAACTTTATCCCCTTTCAGTAGGACTACAACTGAATGAAATATCATGAGTGTATTTTTTTGTTTAGAAATGAGGACAATTTGAGTTGTCAATTATTGGAATTGAAAGTATAGTTTTTAAATTTTTTTCTATATATTTTAATATAATTTGGACAATAAATAATAATAACAGGGATTTCACTTATTTATCCATTCCACAAATATTTTTGAACACCTACTGTGTAATGGGTACCGTTTTAGGTGATGTGAAAATAGTGGTAAAGAGATGGACAAAAATCCCCATTCTCATGGAGTTTATATACTAGTGAGGAGAAATGGTCTCTCCTCCCCCCCAAACACACACATACACACACAAATACATGTGTAAAATAAATAATTTTGTTTGGTGATAAGAAGAGTTAAGAACAAAAATAAACCAGGGAAATTGGCTAGGAGATGCTAGGAGGAGGGCATGCAGATTTAGGAAGATTATCAGGAAAAGAGTCACTGAGAAGTGGTGTTTGAGTGGAGATGAGTGAGCAAATCATGGTAGATGGACCAAAGCATGACTGGCACAGGGAAAAGCAAGTGTCCGATTCAAATTCAAACCTCCACAAGGGGCCAATATGGCTGGAGCAGAGCGAGCAGGTGGAGAATAGTAAACTCAGAGTCAAAGAGCCCATGGCAGCTCAATTATATTCAGCTATGTAAGAACTTTGGCATTTGAGATGGGAAGTCATGAGAATTTGAGCAGAGAGGTGATTAAAGAGGAAATTAAAGAGGTGATTCAAGAGCAACCAAAGGGCTGCTGTGTGGGGAACAGGCTACAGGGGGCAAGGGTAGAGCCAGGGAAATAGGTAGGAAGCTATACTGCAGTTATCACAGCTTATATTAGGTGGCACAGGGGTGATGAGATTCCGGATGTTTTTTGAAAGTGGAGCTGATAGAATTTGCCAGCAGATTGAGTATGAGTTTGAAAGAAAGACAGAGTCAAAGATGACCCTGCAGATTTTGGCCTGAGCACTGAAGAACAGAGATGTCATTAACTGAGATAGAGAAGGCTATAAGAGGAGTGAGGAGGCGGAGTGAGCAGGAGTTCAGTTAAGGACACTTTAAGGTTGAAGTGCACATTAAACAGCCTCATCATATGGGGAGGAGACAGTTGGGTAGTTGAGACTGTAGTAAGAGAAAGGGTCCAGGTTAGAGAGAGAAATTGGAGAATCGTTAGTGTAATATTATTCCATTTATATGAGGTAAATTGAGTTTAAAGTTTAGGGGGAAAGAGAGAAATGATGGATACATGCTAAAAATGTAGGGGTGTTTAATTTGGGGAAATATCCAGATAATTTCCTTCATTAAAACTCAGTTAAAAAGGAGAGGGGATAGGAATAGGAAAGACGGTGAAATGAAAAAACCTAAGTGAATCCCACCATTGTGTACATCCTCAAGAATAGGGTCCTAATTAGAATAAGATATAATTTATGCATGTGTAATTTTATCAAAATGAATTCTACTGTCACGTATAACTATAAAAAAGTTCAATTAAAAACATTTATTAAAGCCAGGCACAGTGGCATATGCCTGTAATCCCAGCGACTTGGAAGGCTGAGGCAAGAGGATCATGAGTTCAAAGCCAACCTCAGCAAATAGCAAGACCCTGAGCAACTCAGCAAAACCCTGTCTCTAATGAAATATTAAAAAGGGTGATGGGTGGGGGCTGGGGCTGGGGCTCAATAATAACGCACTTGCCTGGCATGTGTGAGGCACTGGGTTCGATTCTCAGCACCACATATAAATAAGTAAATAAAATAAAGATCTATCAACAATTTGAAAAAAAATAAATTTAAAAAGGTTTTAAAAACATAAATAAAAATAAAAAGGGCAGAGGGATGTGGTTCAGTGGTTAAATGCCACTGGATTCAATCTCTGTTCCAAAAAAAAAAAAACCCCACTTATTAAGATGCATGATCATCTCTCAAACTTTTCCAGTAGATCTTTAATTCACTTAAAAAAGCACTAGAGGAAGGGCTGGGGTTGTAGCTCAGTGGTAGAGTGCTTACCTAGCATCTGGGTTTGATTCTGAGCACTGTATATAAATAAATGAACAAAATAAAGGCCCATCAACATCTAAAAAAAAATTTTTTTTAAAGCACTAGAGGAAAAGTCAGAGCTCTGGAGTGAAATCCCCTTACCTCACAGGATAACTTCTGTGCATGGGGTGTGGCGGGAACTAGTTTCTTTTCTTTAAATTCTTGGAGGCAGTCATAAACCTGCAGATGGGTGAGGGTGGAGAATTGATGTTAATAACATACATGAGTATTAACATTCTGGATTTAAGACTCTCAAAGGGAAGAAACAACCTGGGAAACTGTCCAAGCAGCTGAATAGCAGGATGTGAGTTGGCCTTTAATAAGGTGTGTCTCTAATTGCAAAAGAGAAATGAACTCAAGTCCTGGGTTCAGTGACTTAATTATTGGCTGCCATGAGTCACTGAATTTCCAAGAAATTTTATTGAAAAAAAAAAAAACAGCCAAACTTGACCCTTTTTACACTGAATAAATTTTCCAATGCTGAGACCAATAGGGATTGGTAGATGATGCACACAGGGGTGTCTCAAGGAAGGGACTCTGTGAGAATAGAGACCCATGAAGATCTCTGCACAGGGAAACTGTGTGGCTTTGGGCCAACTCATGTCCTGAAGAAGAGACCCACCAGGAACACTATACTTATCTGTCCTCTGCTCTGATCTTTAGGGTTGTCTGTTTCACATCCCTCCCTTAATTTTCCAATACAACTTTATTTATAAAAATTCCAATCACATCTCTGTGGGTCCCTAGGAATTTTTTTCTGAACCAGGATGTAGGATCAGGCTGAGTATACTAAACCCTAGCTCCACAGTGCAGTCCTTAATTTTATTTCAGGAATTAAGCTTTTCTTATAGATAGAGAAGCAAGGCCCAAGGGGCCAGCTTAGTCCAGTCTTTTCTACCAAGTCTGTGGTGTTACTGCTGCTTGAACTTTCCCTAGGGACCAGCAATCAGTGTACCTGGAAATGATCCAAGTTGATGGATCAATGCAAGAGCACAAAGCACAAACAGCCTGCTAGTGGGGAGCAAGGACAATGTCCATGAGGAAACGAAAACTCCCCTCTTTTGGGTAGGGAGGTCCAATAGACACCAAGTGCTTTGGAACAAGCCAAGTGTTCATGTTTAAGACGTTGCCTTTTTAAGTCTTAAACAACATAATATTAGCACGCATTCTAAGACGGACCACAACCCACACTTAAGAGAAACACCCACACAAAAATGACTTCAAGATTTTTCTTAATAACAAGATTTGTTCAGAAAAACAAAATTATAGTAGTATTGATTATTGCATAATGCATGAAGTTTTAATCAAATTAAAAGAGAAACCTAAAAGAATTGAAAAAAAAAAAAAAAAAGGCTGGGGATATTGCTCGGTGGTTGAGTGCCCCTAGGTTCAATCTCTGGAACCCCCCCCCAACCCTAAAAAAGAAGAAGAAACCTAGGGATGAGAAAATGTTAAGATACCCAAACAGAACATGGATGTCTTATTTCCTGATTTTAACAAAGAAGAATAATTTTTTAAAGATATATATATATATATATATATATATATATATATATATATATATATAAACAATTATTATGCATGTGTGTGTGTGTATTTTTTTTCCAGGATTGGCCTCAAGAACAAATGATTATAATAATTATAGAATTGCTGATAAGATGCTGCTGATTGCCATTGTGGCAACTTTGTGATTCTAGGGCTCTCTGCAACAAAAAGAATTACAGGTTGTTATGACTTGGATCTGTTATGACTTGATCTTCAGCTCATGTGCTGAAGGCTTGGTCCCCAGGGCAGTAGTGTCAACAGGCAGAGGAGACTGGATCACAAGGGCTCCAACCCCAACAGTGGATTCATCCACAATGTTCTGCCTCCCCACAAGCCCAGAAGCAACAGAGCCAAGTGACTATGGACTGAAACCTCTGAAATGAGCCAAAATAAATAATTCCTCCTTTAAGCTGATTCCTCTCAGGTATCTTGTCACAGTGGCACAAAGCTGAGTAACTCAGGGGTAGAAAAGAAAGGAGCTGCTCTTTTCTTTTCCACCTATGTCAATTCCTTTCAAAGCTAAGAGGTGTGTGTGGGTCTTCTCTGAGGATGGCCTTCTAAGAACTTTTTCCATGTTGAAATTTCCTGCCAGGTAACAAGTAATACCACTGGATAAACAGCTGCTATGGTCTGAAAGTGGCCCCCGGCCCCAAATTCGTAGGTTGCAATCTTCACCCCAGGATGATGCTATTAGGAGGTGGTGCCCTTGGGAGAGGATGAGGTCATGAGGGCTGCACCCTCAAGAATGGGATTAGCATCCTCATAAAAGAGGCTGGGGAGATCCCTCACCTCTTCCACCATGAGGTCACAGTAAAAAGATGGCCTTCTGTGAATCAAAAAGTGGGTCTTCATGGGACATGAAATCTGCCAGCGCCTTTGATCTTAGACTTCCCAGTTTCCAAATCTATCATAAATAGGTTTGCTGTTTATAAGCTATCCAGTCTGTGGCATTTTGTTACAGAGCCTGAATGGACTAAGGGAGTAGTTTTTAACCAGCCAGTTAGCAAAGAGCTGCAAGCCACAGAGTGCTCACCTTTAGCAGGGCCCGCAGCCACGGGGAATGCAGGAGATCATACAGAAGGCACACTCCGTTCACATCTCGGCTGTAGAACAGGCTCAGCTCCTGCAGCACATGCCTCAGGATTTGGGAGAGGCCTAGAAAAGGGAGAGGACAGAGACTGATGGGGTGAGAAAGGTCAGAAAAGCTGCTGTATATATGAAAGGCAACTGGCCAACTTCAGAAAGTCCCATGACCATCTGGAGACCAGTTTCTTTGTGGCTAAATGAGAATATGCTGGATTTCTTACAGGGTTGTGGCTAATCTTAGATGAAACAGATCATAATATTCAGAAGTAAGATATCATAAGAGCTTCCCCCTCCTCCATCTTACTAGCCTGTGGTTTATCCAAAATTATCTAACTGTTTCCTGGATCCTCTTTCTCACATCCAAATATGGAGTCATTTGTTTTTATCCTTTCTGAAAATTCTTATGGAAAGTGTTATACTGAAAAACATTTAACTCACAATAGGATTTTAATACAAATTTCAATAGTCTGCTGGGTAAAAGGATTAAGTAGGTTTCAGTGAATGCTTGATTTTTTCCCCCCCACAAGTATATTTATAAAAATTCTTTTTTTAAGTGATATTTTGAATGTGAACAAGTCGTGCAATTCTCAGTTTTACATAAAGCATTGTGGGAATGGGGGAGGTAGGGAGGTCTGAATCTACTGTCAGTTTTCTTTCCTTTCTGCCTTGAAAACTGTTTCCAATCTGTCACTAGCAGTTGTAGTAGGATGATCAAAAGTGTATAGCAAGTCCCTGGTTGGGGTGACAGTAAATGTGTTAGAATTTCATTCCATGCCTAGATTGCGTATCTAGAGTGATACCATTCTTTCTGGTTTCAAGGGGACCTTGGTGACATGTACCATTCCGTGGCTGGGTTGCAGTAGAGAGCTTCCTGTCCCTGTCTGGAGGATCTCCTCCTTTGTCTGACTGTATCATCCTCCCTGCCAGAGCTTCCAAAGGGAGGTGGGACCTAGGAAGCAGATCATAAACAACTCAGAGTTCATGCAATCACACTGGCCACACACTCAGCCTGCAGAAATATATTTTCAACAGCATTTATAAAGCACGCTAGGCATTGTGCTACACACTGGGGTACACATCAAATAAAATGCAGTCTTAAAGACAGTGGAATGAATTGGACATAACTTTCCTATATTCATATATGAATACATGAACAGTTAACTCCACATCACGTACAACCACAAGAATGAGATCCTAATTAGAATAAGTTATACTCCATATATGTATAATACATCAGAATACACTCTTCTTTCATGGATATCTAAAAAGAACAAAGCAAAAATTACTAATAAATAAGTAAATAAAACCTAGTCTTGCCCCATAGCAAATTAACCATCACCAGCAGTGGGAAGGAGAAAACTACTATTTCAAAAAGTACTCCCACTATCCCTCTGCTTTTTAAAAGCAAGTTACAATGTTATATTTATCTTCCACTGATTTGCCTCATTAATTTTACCTATCTTTCAAAGCTCAAAAGGGTCTCCCCTGGCCTGACTGCTTGTATGTGCCCTGCTTCTTATTTTGCACCTTACAGTTCTTCATAAAAAAAATAATAAAAACTAGTCACAATTGTACAATTGCTGTTAGAAGACTTAACTGAATCCATGTGTGATAGATTGCTGCTGAGGCAGACTCTTAGAATTTACAAACAACATGATAATGATTTTTTTTTCCTATAACCTTCCTGACTCAACCCCACGATCTATCTAAATTCTAGAGAGCCCTATCAGATTCAATACTAATCTTTAACAACTTACTTGAAATGCTTATTTTAATGCTTATTTTCCATATTGCTTTAGGTGGGTTTAATTTTGAGAAAGAGAAGCACAAAATAAGTTCAGAGGCAGAGACAATCCAGGATTGGCAGGGCAGTCTAACTCCACAAAGTCCTTAGGGAACAGGCTACTTCCAGCTCCCAATCCCCACCCTAGGTGTGACATTGTTCTCATCTACAGGCTCCAACATGGTGGCTGAAACTCCAGCCATCTTGTCTACATTTCAGCCAGCAGGACTGGAAAGGATTAGAAAAACAAGGGCAGAGGGAACATGCACACTGCTCTTCAAGAAAATTTCTTAGAAATTGCCCTCCATAACAGGGAATCATCTTAAGCCCCATGGAATTTTCAAGTGTCCCACTGGAAAAAACAAAAAAACTATAATTATCTGAATCTAGCACCCAACTTTTTATTACATGTAAGTACAAAAGATTTTGCACATTCATTGGATAGAGTGGTACCACCGTAATTGAGGAATGAATTTACTTGGTTTTGCTTTAAACTTTACCAAGCTGTCCACCAATTCAGAAAATCATGTCACTAATGGTAATGCTGCGTGTGGTACCCAGGAAATCACTACAGCCTATCAGTATCAGGCTGCATCTGTGCCTGTATTCAAAACTGCCAAATCCCTTGAGGAGATTTTTGTGTAAAGTTTTTTGTAAGTTTCTTTTAACTTTTAATGTAGAGAAGTCACATATTTACATATTGAAATATACAATGTCTTATGATCAATTCTTTTTTTTTTTTTTTTTTTTTGGTGGAAGAGTACTGGGATTGAACCCAGGAACACTTAACCACTGAGCTATTCCCAACCCTTTTTATTTATTTTGAGACAGTGTCTTGGTGAGTTACTTAGGGCTCACTAATTTGCTGAGGCTGGCTTTGAATTTGTGATCTTCCTGCCTCAGCCTCCAGAGTTGCTGGGATTACAGGTCTGTTCCACCATTCCCAGCTTGATCAACTATCCTTTTAATTATTATTAGGGAATTATATGCAATTTTTTTTCAAAACTCATGAGTAGGTATGTTGGTTGAGTTCTCTTAGATCAATGAGCAAGGACTATAGGGTAGATAATTTATTTATAAAGGGACCCCAGGAAATACCCATAGAGGAGTAGGGTATAAAGTCAGGGAAGAAAAGTCATTAAAAGTGTGATCAAGCGAGTAAATACTGTGAGTGGCAATTGGATGGTAATCCCATGGGGTAAGAAGGAACACAGGAATGGAGGTATTTAAATACCAATGTTGCTGCAGGTCCTTGGTTAAGGGCCATTCCTGAGAGCATTTCTTCTGGCCTTTCCAGCCTGCTCCAGGTAGACTTTCAGATAGCAAGGATAGGTGCTAGCAGTTGGCCCAGAGTACACCAGAATGGAAAGCACCGAGGTGATATATGTGGGTAGGGCAATGATAACATTTCTTATAGTAGGATAAAAAAGAATAAATTAGGATTTTTTAAAAGAAGCATTTAAGGGGCTGGGTTTGTGGCTTAGTGGTAGAGTGCTCACCTAGCATGCAAGAGGCACTAGGTTCGATCCTCAGCACCATATAAATGTAAAATAAAGATATTGTGTCCATCTAAAACTTAAGAATAAATATTTTTTAAAAAGGAAGCAGCAGCATTTAAAATTAGTTGTTTAAGACTGGGGTATTGAATCTGATTGGGCTGCAAACCACTGTCTAGACACTAAATCAATTATGCGTTGAGCAGGAAATCTGTCTAAAAGATAAAAAGATCATTATTACATTGTCTCTAAATTCTACAGCAGTGAGAACAGCTCAGAAATTTGCACAGAATTTTCAGCTGCTTTCCCATACACATTCTTTTCCAGTCACACTGAAGTATTTTACTAGATTTCACCAAAACCTGACATTGTTGTGCCTTTCCTTTGCCCACTCCACTCTAGATCCAGCCCAGCCAGGTTAAACTGGGCCTTTTCCTGTGTTCTGCTTTTTTTTTTTTTCCAAAAATCCTGAGTAGGTATATTGGAAAGGGAGGGCCTGCCAGATAGGCAAAAGTCAGAGCAGACAGATGGGGCTGATACCAGGCAACCTCTTAAAACCTGTTAGCCCAGCATGTCCCACAAATCACTATCCTTGGTAAAACAGCACAGATTAAATAAGCCAATGTTGTTTGCACATAAGATGGACCACATTTCTTCCATATTTAATGCCTAAATGATAACACACTGAATGAAGCCTACTCATTCAGTAGACAAGGGCACTGGAGACTGATTTCTGATATGAATGTATGAGGCAACAGCTGACAAGGCAAGTGCCTGGATATACTGACCTTAACCTTTTGTCCTATCAGACTTCAAAACTGGGCCAATGGGCATCTTAGAGAAAATAAAATACAACACTTTTATTTCCAGATAAGGACACTGACTTTAAAAAAGCAACAGTAGACCCAGCCACATGCAATTCTGGGTGATTAAGTAACACATGAATAACCAGTTCTCTTGTCATGGATTTAGAAGCTGCAGTACTGTCGCTGACTCCTAAGGCATTTGTCTTAAATATTATTTTAGAATTATTTCTATTAGCTTTCTAAAGTGCACTAACTACTATTCAATGATCCAACCTACTACCCCTTTTATCCTGTCTTTAAAATAATGCTTTTTAGCTGACAAACACTGAAAAAAAAAAAAAAAAAAAACACTTGAAGACTTAATGAGAAATGGTCCCTATGATAACGTCTGGCTTCCAGAGTCTAATGCTATTGTATAGGACTGGGATAAATGCTCAGTTTTACTCAAACTCCATGACAGCCCATTATTCCATATTTAAAGAAATGGTTTCTCAAAGCAGAACCTCTTCTTCCAAAGTCATATAATTCTCCATATTTGAGTTGCTCTGAAATTCAACTATTTGAATTAGATTATCCAGAATGATATTTTAGCTATTAAAAATGAACAGACATGCTAGACAGTTATAGGAGGTATCTCTGGTAACTGAGGATTATTTGCAGTATCTTACCTGTAAGACTGAACATGCAAGGTTGCTCCTATGCAGACAAAACCTTGAGTGGAAAATACTATGGGCTATTAGCTGCCAAAGTCACCTGACTGCTCTAAATAAAACCTCTGCACATCCTCTTTGATTTAATCCACACACAGACCTAACCTAGCCTAACCATGAACTCATAAGCTTCCTCTGCCACAAATCTTAAAATATTCCTTAGTCTAAACATCTAATTTATAATTTTCAACCTTTACCTAGTATTTTCTTACATTGTCACATTAACACTCACACACACAATTTCTGTTAACTATTTCAGGATAACAATCTACAACAGAAGGTGGCATTTTTTATTTTAATGAAAAAAACAAAAGCAAAAACCCTGTAGGCACTTGGAGTAAACTAACCCCATTAGCCTTATTTTCTCATGTTCTGGTGGGAAAACAATGGGACTCTTCTGCCAGTAATAAAGAGAGAGCACCATCAAAAACAGCTCCTTCTGGTCTGTTCTGTCAAGACTCTGTTCTGAATTTAACAATTAGCCAGCCCATGCTTGATTCTCAGATAGGAGCTACAGTAGGGAACCCAGCAATATTCATGGGGGCATTGGTTCCGGGGCTGCCTGCTGATATGCAAGTTTGCAGATGCTCAAGTTCCTTTTATAAGACAGCACAGTACTTGCACATAACCTATGCACTACTGTAAATCATCGCTAGGTTTCTTACAGTATCCAACACAACACAAATGCCATGAGGTTATTATATTGTATTGTTTAGGAAATAACGACAAGGAAAAACAAAGTCTGTACATGTTCAGTACAGATGCAATGTTTTTTCATGAATATTTTCCACCCATGGCCGACTCCACGATGTTATCCACAGATAGAGGTCAACTGTATTTCTGGTATTTGAAAATTTATATTACAGGATATAGTCAGTGGAAAGAGCACTTTGACAAAGATATCACACAAAGAACATGAGAAAGGGTGAAGAGCAAATGGCAATTATTAAAAGGTTTTCCAGCCCTGTTATCCCAATTAAACACATAATTTTCTTCATCTCTCCACTGCAGAGGGAAATACAAGCTGGGAACTTAAGACATTTGTGTTTTGAGCACAGAATGGTTTATCAAAAGCACTTAATTTTTATGCAGTTTTCATTTTCAACTAACTTTTTTATTT